CTTTTTTTTAAAATTAAACTTAATTAAGTCTAAATTTTTACAAAAAAATTAAAGTACTTCATTGAAAACTCGATGAAGAGAACAAAAAAATCTAGCTGACCTGACAAATGTCTGAAAAAATACATGAAACATCTTGGACAAGAACTGAGTGCGCTAGGTATTTTCGACAGCGTTTTCAGGAATTTGAAAAAAATTTTGATTGTTTCGAAACAATATCATGAAGATTCATAACTTTTGGAACAATTTTATTGCACAAAAATACAGAAAAATTTCTGGTCGTAGTCCCTTTAATACGTCGCATCCTGAAAGTTCGTTATCCGAACATTCAGGATATGATTATCGAATCTGAATTAACAAACTCAAAAAGTTAAACAGAAGAAATTAGACTTTCCGTTTTTTTAATATCGACTCTCAGTTTTCACAAAGCGGAAATAGATCGGTCAAACGAAGCCAGGTCCTTAACACCTCAACCATTTAGTATCCTTCGTTTACAGTGTAGGTTAAGTTTAATTGACATATCCGATTGATGAATGGGTATCTCTTTCCATTAAATCGAGACTTCTCTTAAGAGAGAATCCGTGCCCCCTTCTGAACTCCTGTCTCAAATAATTACGAATCGAAGCTCACTGCAAAATCGGATTAGATTGAATCAAAGAGTGCATGAGCCAAGAATAAGCAGAGCCCTTTTATATGTTGTCTTTCACTCTGTTCTCCTAAACATCTTCTTCTTTTTCTACTTCTACTTCTTCTTCTTCTGTGTGTTTTTTCTGAAACAAGAAAGCCACATTAAGTGTCAATTTATCCTTGTTTTATCTCTTTTCCGCCCTCACCATTCCATCATTTTATCACCTCTCGGCTCGTTTTCAACTTCTTCTTCCTCTTATTCTTCTTCTCCTTTGTCATTCTTCTTTTTCCCACCCAATCTTTCATTTTTCCTCTACATTTATCACTTTCTCCTCTTATTCCCAAAATGGTTGTCGGTATCCGACGAAAAAGAAATTTTTGGAAAAAAAAACGGCAACCTTATCCATCGTTATCCATAACTCAAACGACGAAGAAAAAGGAGGGAAACAGAGGTGACAGTGAACGATTATGACGTTTTTGTCGTTCGTACGTGCGATGTCGATGGATACGGAATTTTTGTCGAGAAATTGAAACTTCTTTCGGGTTGATACTTTTATGAAGGAAGATCTTGCGGTGATGATGAAGCTGATTAGATTTATGATCCGTCAAAAGTTAATCAAATGATCCGCGATTTAACACATTAGGTTCAAGATAATGTGGAGGTGTTGCAAAATTATGATTTCTTAGTGTTCAGGATGTTTTCAGAAGATCGAATGGGACTTAAATAAGGCTTCATATTAATAGCTGAAATGTTTTTCATGGTGGTCACGGATTGATATAAGACCTGGTTCAGATGGAAGCAGATGTATTATATGAGAGGATTTCATAAGATTTTGGTTAACAAGATCTTAACTTATGATTCTCTCCAGGGTAATAAAAGTTCGAGATCTTACGTTTTAGGCAGTTCTTGACCGTATTCAACTAATCTAACACTCCGATGTTAATCCACACGTTGTTCGTGAAATTCCAAGATCTTGCCCACCCCCCCCCCCCCCTTTTGGTCATCTTCGAGGGTACCTAGGTGTAAAGAACTCGTCACCATTTGTGTTTTCAAAGTCAACCAAAATAACTTTAAAATTTGTGAGTAAGGTAATTAAGACATGCTGAAAATAATGAATATAAATTCAGGACACGAAAAGTGTGCCTGCGCCCACCAGCTTGAGCGAAACTTGTGTTACCATACTTTTGCCGCACCCTGTAACTTGACGTGACCTTTTGAAAAATTGAGGAGCGGAGCGACTAACAGGAAAACAAATAGGTTAAATTGTTGTCAGTTTGGGGGGGCTTCTGCATTGAGGAAATACAGTACTTCTCAATAAAAATGTGCGAAATTCACTTTTAGATTTAACTGTGATATAGGGATTCACCCATTTGAGTGGTTTTATACTGTCTTAAAACATGCTCAGAGTCTGCTAGGGTTCTTTTTGAATTTGCACCTGCATCATCTCCTTCCCTATCCCCAAGACCCACGACAAAATATTTCAGGTCATCATCATCCGTCAGTTTAATACATTCTTTCGAAAACTTTCTTTTCTCTCCATCTCCTAAATGATAGTGTTGTTCGTCAGAAAAACGTGTGGCGCGGCGTCGTTTGTTCTTCTCAATTCCCTTGCGGTCCGTGTCCATCTTCAGCCTTTTTCTTGCCAGAAACCATCCGTTTTTCTTTTTCCAAATGTCTACACCAAAACTATTACTAATCTTTCCTTATTCTGTAGTGGTGCACTTCTCCTACCTCCCAGCAGCACCGGAAAAGCGATTCGTCCGCTTCGTTTAATAATTCGTACCGGAAACGAAACTGCCTCCCCGAAGTCGCATTGGGCTCTTTCACCTGTCCTTCTCTGATCCCCTTTCCTTTCCTGAATTCAAAGCAGTTTCCAGCTAGTCAATCTGACACGCTGGAGGACATCAAAAAGTGTCGAGGACGTGAAGCGAGTTGACCTACTCTCAAGGGAGTTGTTAACTTATGAAACAACTTCTCCGCGAAGAAGAAGATGCTTTTGAGAGACAACTTCATCTGTTTGTACATCTCAGTCGCAATTAAAGACTTGACCAATCCCCTTCTTCTCGAGTCCTTGACAGTTTTCGAGTAACAAAGCCAATAAGCGGGTTTTTCTGTGGATAGAACTTCTTCTAATCAAACCAATTTTCTTTCTTTTCTTAGCTCTCAACCTTCATGCTTTCCTCTTTTTCTTCATTTTTATTTCTAGAAGTTTGTTTCAATCTCTTTTTACCATATCCGTGCGAATTCGAAATTATTTTTCTAAAAGTCGCACTTCTGGAAAATTTTTCAGTAGAATTTTAGAATAAGTTTTGGAGAAGATTTTTTGAACTCCACCTCAAATCGCTATTCAAACTTACTACCTGTTTTTTAGTATTGAACATATAATCAGGTTAAAAAATCCAAATGAAACTATCTCTAACTCAAATTTTGTCAACTGACAAATCATTTATCATAATGTCGTCAATATTTTATCAGTTTACAAAATTTTGATACCTTTCACAGAAGTCGAGATAATTGAGTTCAAAGTTGACAGTTCCGATGGGCTCTATCAGATAGAATTCGATAGATTTTATTTGAACTTCAGATTTATAGAAATCGTTTTAAGAACCGTTAGAAACCTTGAAATTCACTTTCCCGTTTCAAATAATTCAGTTCAGATCCTTCTTATCTTTAGCAGATTATTCCGATCGCATTTCATAATAAGTGCTTCAATCCTTATCCAAATTTGCATATCAAATATCTTGCTCTTTTCCCCTTCTCCACACCCATTCGAATACATAATTCATAACAGTTTGACAGGTGTCCTCCCCATTTTCAACTTATCTTATAATATGTTTGTCTAATAATTCCTTCTCACCTATTCCTTTCATTCCTTCAGGGCTTTATTTTCGTTTCTTTTAATATAATGAAGAATTCCAGAATGAATTTTAATAATATTTCATTTCGAAAAAAGGCGGGGAGTCTTCAACTAAACACAATATTTACTCGTTGAGCAATATGAGAGTCCTTTTTGGTCCGTCCTCTCCTCCTCCTCCTTCTTCATATTCCTCTCTGCCGATGTCGCCGGCTTCTGCCATCGCCTTCCGCGTTTATCTCGGATTTCATCAATTTTTTGTTACTCACTCTCTCTCTCTCTCTCTCTGTCCTACGATAGTCATAAAGAGAGAGAACCTTTTGATGGGTTCGGACCCCCGTCGCTGCCCCCGAGATCTCGTTTGTTTCTTTTTTTGTTCCAGAAAAGAAACAACAGATAATTGATGGCGGCCTGCCGGCGTCCCCGGAGATGGCTGACTGACTGAGACTTGGTTGGAGACCACGGATAAATATTTCTTCTTCTCCAGAGTCGTTCAGTTATTAAGAAACTCCTCTCTCTCAAACTCAATCTCTCTTGTTCCAATTGTCATGACAGTTGTCGCTAGTTTTTTGACATGTCAAAATATCTCATTAGGATCTTTTAAACATCATTCCTCATCCGTCATAATGGACCTCTCTTCACCTTTTCTTTCAACCTTTCAACACTTTTGAGATCGATGGATTTTCAAAAAAGTCATCCAGGTTGCATAACTCATGAGAAAAATATATTCTGAATCCCTGATTTTTCTGTGAATTGTGAATCTTCATTTGAGAATCTATAGTTATATATTATTCTGGTAAAAAATAATCGAAGCTGTTTTAGAGAAATGCCAGTGTTCGTGGCCGAAGGTCCCACAACGACAACTACCGTAACCTAAAACATTTTTTTGAGTTATTTTCTCGTTTTCCGTGCTTATTTTCAGTTTAAAAAAAAAATCAACGAATAGCAGTGAAAAACGAGAAAATCAATACGGAAAGTAAAAGTAATTTTAGGGTACGGTAGTTGTGGGATCTTCGTCCAACGAAACTATTTAAAATCTTTTGAAGACTCATGAAGACATGAATTCAAAAATTTTCAATAAATTAAAAAAATTTAATTTCCAAAAAATAAAGTAATAAAGGCACACTATTTAAGTTTTCAACCAATATTCTAATAGTAAGAAAATTGAAAAGCAGAAATACTGTAAAAACTCTTATAGAACACAACCCCTAGCTTTTAACTTTGAGCCACTTTATCTTTGAGCCAATTTATCTCACATCTAAGATATCAAAAAGTAGTCAGAAGACAAAATATATGCGAAATTATGCTAAACATTTTGTTAGTTTATCACTTCTCGACGTCTTCAACAGGAAGCGAGAAAGATAAGCTCAAAGTTTTGTAGGGTGTTTTCATTATACAATTTCATACAATTTATTAAGCTAATTTGAAATAAAAATCCTCATCCTTTCCTTTTCCTCTCCTTAATCTTTCAATCCCCACTTCACACCTAATAATTTATTCCAGGTGAGAGACTGAAATGTGATGAGGCAGTCGACGAGCCATCTCTTTTCCCTATTTCTTCTATTCCTCATCTCTCTTGGTGACGCCTACAAAAACTACGAATCCAGTCGCAGCCGGCAAGCTGTCGGATATCATATTGAAAATGGTAATATTCATGAATTCTAACTCATCTACCCTAAAACCTGTATTAGAAGGGTCTCACACAGTCTAGTTTGAGCTCTATTATCTCAATTCCTATGCATGCAATCAAAAATCGGTCAACTGAAAAATGTTGGTGATATTATGATAAACAATTTATCAGTTGACAACTTTTCTATATCTCTGACAGGAACCGAGAAAAATTGGCTCAAAGTTAAAAGTGAGGGGCCCTTCTAATACAAGGTTTACGGTATCTTATTGTATTGTTTCCAGTAATGAAACTGCGTTGCCATCAATGCAATCAACCGCACGACTGTTCAACAGGACTCTGTTACGGTGATATTTGTGTCAAGTCGCTTGTGAATAATCACTATGTGAGCAAAGGTTGCGAGAATCTAACGTGAGTTTCAGAAAACAGCTAAATGAGATGTATAAATTCGAGTTTCAGGATATCCAGCAGTGTTTATGAGCCACATCTCAAAATGAGAACTTACTGCAAAGAAGAAGAGGTGAGCGGAGAGCTCCATTGAAATAATCTGTTTCATATCTTTTGTATTTCCAGGTTCTTGGAGTGGATACTATCAACTGTTACTGCCGAGATTCTGACTTCTGCAACTCTTCTCCCTACTTCTTCAACCTCTTTTCAATGTTTGCTTTTCCTCTACTCTTACGGTTATAATGTTTTCTCGTCATCTCAATTTCTCGTACACATTCTCAGTCTTTCACAATAAGCGACGAAATTCTAATAATATAGAAACGATCATAAAGAGAAAAATAAAATGTTCATTTGATTATCTCCAAAAAGTCAAACCAAACACTTTGAAAGCGGGTGATGGCGATCAAGACTATTTGATGATGTTGTTAGGATAAAAAGGGGAGAAAAGAAAGATGTGTATTGGGGTGTTTGAACTGTCCAATTATTAGAGTCTACAAAGTCAGGGATAAATAAGTCAGACTGCAATCAAGGTATTACAAAGTGTTACATGATGGAAAGAAATAGAACAGGTGATGTGAGTATCTCAGCGGGAGAAGCACTGGGGGCGACTCGAGAAATTTGTCGAATGTCATGAGAACTGGGCGGAGGGGACTGATAGGGTGTCATGAGAACAGGGAGAGAAGACGAGCAATCGTAAGGGGCATTTTATGAACGAATTCAACGGCGGCCCACGCCAATCTAAAAAAGAAACAAAACATAAACGATAAACGAAAGCAATGGTTCGGACAGGAATGTTGCTTTCGATGAAATATAAAAGAACGAGAAATTAAAAATGGGTTTAGAAAGAAATAATGGTTATTAGGAGGAATCTATGAACAATAATGACGATTAATGGCGGTGAACAGAACTGAACGTGTGACGTCTCGCCTCCACGCGCCTGTACGTTTCCGGATCACTGGCAGAAAAAGCAGCTACGAAGCGAGGATTCTCCCACAGGTCCCAAATCAATTGTTCGTTTCCACAAGTGCACGAGTCGGCGTTAGTGTCTGTTGTCGATGGTGCAGCATCTGCATCGGTTTCGGCTGTTGGTGTGATCTTCAGAAGCTCTTGAGATTTTGGAATCATGCTCTGATAGATAGGAAGGTCAACGTGTGGAAATCCGAACCTGAAAAATGTGTATTTTGATGTTGTTGATTAATCTACAACAACATACGAGAATGATCCACCGAACGTGTTGTTGTCAAATGCCGACCAACAGTTTCCTTGCTCTTCTGACTGCTCATTTATGTCGGATTTCAATCCAGGGGAAGACGCCTCGGATTGTGTGTTACGCAGATCACTGATTGGATTCGAATTTACTGCACTTGAAGTGGACGGCTGTGAAACAGTAGCCAGCTCTGTGAAGAAGTTATCTCCCGATGGTGTGAACGCGGAACTAAACTGTCCTAAGGTGGTATTAACAAATGTTTCCTGTGGGAAAAATGTAGTTAGCTCTTCTGGTTTCGATTCCGCTGGTGTTCCACTCCACATTGAACCCATACTCATACGAAGACCGTAGCTGGGACGCGGTGGTAAAGCAGCTGCAGACACCTGGGAAGCTTCGAGCTCTTCGAGTGTTAAGGCATTAGCCGGATGAGCAGAATATCGTGGTAGCGCTTCCAGACCTGGTGGTGGTTCGATTACCGACTTTGACACAACAGCGGGAATAGATTCATCTGAATTAATCCGAAGTGACTCCATCGATTGGGTAGGAATATTCTCCTTCTCCTCAATCTCCGATCCGTCAACGGTCGGAAAGTCTCGTGCAGATGGCTGCACTGCAGGTGCTCCAAGATTCTTCATGTTCCAGCAGTTTTTCGGCGGTGGTGGAGCTGCTTGAATACGAGGAGCTGACTCAGTAACCTTCTGTTTTTTGGGAATCGGTTGCTAGAAATATTTAAAATTCGTCCCAATACGAAAAATTATCTCTGTTTACCTCATACAACATTGGGAAGTGCTTGACTCCGATTCCGTTATGAACCAAATGAACTTTGGGAAAGCGCTCCACTTTATCCATTGATGTGACAAGGACACATCGAAAAGCATGCCTTCCATGACGCTCCTGAGCGTAGTACGTAATTCGAACGAGGGTTCCAGTTGGTGGAATGTTTCCGCTGTTCAAATCGATCACTTTGGCGAAAGCACATTTCTTCTTGCCAGACTCGTCCAACTTTTGCAAGAATATGCTCGGATTGTCCGGGCCGTCGACAATTGAAGCAATCTTCCAGTTGTCTTCCGTTCTAAGCATGCGAGCGTTTTCGTCGATAACCTGATCGAACTCAAGTTCTTCACAAAGAGCAGCAGAAGATGCAACCCATGGGATGTCATCATGTTTTCCATTGTAGGCGATTTCCAAATGCACAGGTGTGAATGGAAGGGGCTTGGAAGCTGACATGTGGCGATCTGTACAATTCCATGGTACATATATACGACCAACATGGTCGTTCCATGCCCAACCAGCTTTTCCGTGAGAGACTTTGTTGAACACAGCACTGATGGTAATAGTCAAGGGAGCCAATTTTCTTATTGGGTAAATCTGAAAACAAAAAATTCAAGAGGGAAACTGTTTGCTACATTACCGATCCCATGTCTTCAGGGTTGCTACCCATCAATTTCGATGTTTTCACATCAGAAACTCGACGTCCATCAAAGGTCATAAATCTTCCAGGTCTCATCCATGATTCAAAAAGAGCAGGTGCAAATTCAACGTTCTGACATGTTGGAGAAGTCACCGAAACGACAAAGTTATCAGATACGTCGTAGATAACACCGGTTTGAGATTTCACAAATTCCACTGATTGATGATCCGATTGCCGCTGAACTGCGTTCGTTGTTCCCAGTTTTTTCATATGAGACACATTTGTTGATTCTGATTGAGCAGGAGCATTGGCAGTTTTCCGGTTATCGTCAAAAATAGCCCAAGCAACATATTTACACCCATGAGATTCTTCTTGTCGGAACATGTGGATAAGATATGGTTTGTCGATGTATGCACCTTGTCCGTACCAACACGCTCCGTTCGTAGTTCGAGTAGAAAATGGAACAAAAACTTTAGCCGTCCTTCCTTGAATCGAAACATGTCCAAACTTTAATTGATCATCAAAATAAGAAAGACTTCCATATGTTTGAAGAAGATCACATTGTCTAATAGCCGTCACAGCCGAGTATCTACCATTTTGAAGTTGAGCAGAGAAGATAAGATGATCACCATGCTAAAAGTGTTTATAGTTTTAGTTGATTGGAACATGAAACACTTTACTCACCTCAGGCTCATACCATTTCTTATCATAATTCAATCGAAAAGCACTTTCAGGTAAATCAACTAATACATTTTTACTTTTTTCCAAGATCACACAAGCTCTACCGGTCTTCCGAACATGTCCTTCTCCTAAAATCTTCGCCATTCTTCAACTATTGAATGTGATTCTGAAAATATATGTATTGATTGATAAGAACGAAGAATGCGAGATGGGAACACGGTGAGGAGATAGAAACATTATTGAAAAGCGATGGGAAGTCGAAGAAAAAGTAGATGGCAATGCGACGTATGATAAAAGAAAATTGTTGAGCTAGGCAGCTGTGGAAACCGTCAGTCAACAATACATCGTATATAATAAGGTTTGAAAATAAAAGATGATTAGAAGTCGAAGGCTCCACGAATACTGTCATGGAAACAGACAGCTGGAAATTCCTAAGTCAACGGAAAAATGGAAGCTGGCAGAATGGGCAGTTTTCAAAAACTAAGAGCAGGTGAAGCTTAACTAAGAATTATAGCCTCACAAACCATTTCGCTCATGCTCGAAAAATTGACGATGTTTGCTCGAAAATTATAGGTTTGGGTTTATAATTCAACGATACCTTGTGGAAGGAAATTGGGAGATGCAGAAAGTGGGAACGACTAGAATGAGAAAACGACTGACACAGATATGAAGCAGGGGCGGAGCACGGAGCTGTGTGAGGCAAGGGGATGGCCGAAGTGGATTGTTGCCAAGACAATCAAGTCTTAGGGGAAATGAACAGATTCGAACAAAAAGAGTAACCATGTGATAACGACGAACGGCAAATAACAACCGCGAGATAATGAACACCAAAAAAAGAAGTAAAATAGTAATAAAACGAAAAACAATTTCAGATATATAATTCGGGGTTCAGACCGATAGAAAGAGCATTGATAAATGAAAAATGAAAAATAAGTCTTATTCCATTCAGAGGGAGAAATCATAAGAACAAAAAATCAACAAGAAACGAGAACGAACAACAACAACGATTTAAAAAATGGATAACAAATAACTGAAACAAAAAAACGTTTGAATATGAGTAGTTGATACCCAGGTGCAGTTGACTATGAAGATGTGGAAACCTGAAAATCGATGGTTGATAAGGTGTTGGGCAGAGGGCATGCGGGAAAACTTTTTCTCAACTTATGATGAAAGTAGAAGTGTTCTTTCACTGTTGATATCACTGATATCAGAAGTTGTAATTGATCGGTTTACTTTTCTTTGGCATGATACGAGAAAAAAATCGAAACTAGTCACTAGACATATTTCAAGGAGACCAAAAAAAGTGATTGAAAAAAGGTTCCACATTATTCATGTCTATACTCATGATTAGTTACTAGAAACTGATTAATGTTCATATTAGATTGCTCTAGGGAAACTTGGTGGCTGAAATATACAAAGTGTGGGCGAAATAGCAGGTGACAGTAGGGTATAGAACTTGAAACCAAAAACGACTGCTTATCAATTTGTGTTATAGGGGTTAGACATTCTCTGCTATTCTCATTCCCTCAAGTGTGGATTTTTGAAAGAACGATAAAAACAGAGAAGCTGAGAAAAAATGAGTCATTTCAAGAGCAGAAGAAAATCATAAGCGCTTACAATATTATGCACTTCCTGACGCTGACAGCTCAATTTTTAAGAGGAATCAGCTTGAATTGAAATGGCTAAACACCAAATCTTGAAAACTGACTGTTAGCAATAGGGATTTCATAGACTTTTTTCAACTGTATGCCCGGAAAGAATTTGAAATCGCATTTACTCTATAGGTAAAATTCGCAAAAAAAAAACTAATAAAATGTTATAATCGTTCTCACCGCCGATTATTATGAGAAGACATTAAATCTACGAGCCCGAAATTTTAGTAGAACAGCCAGGAAAATGTACCAGTCTGGTGAAGGTCAGATGGACTAAAAAGGAAAGTAGCAGGTGGCCGAGGCTCAATTCGTTCGAAGCGAAGGACACGCATAAAAAATAGGACACAACCCCTGGCGGTGCCAGACCTCGCGGACATATTGCATGGGTCGAAAAGAAGAGGGGAGTGCATTGAAAATGGTGTCTTCTTTTGATGAACAGAACAGAGAGCAAACCAGTACAGAGCAGATCCCAATAAGATTAATTGAGATCATGTGAGGTACCGTAAAAGTGCATTTTTGGTGGGTAATTCGAAAACGCCCTTTTATTATATGCTCAACACTAGAAGAGCGTTTGCGCCGAGCTCGGTATATTATGAAAAAGAAGACGGGAAGAGAGCTAATTAGTGCGGTGAAGAGTAATGAGAATGTAAGACGCATACCGGAATCTCGAGTTTGAACGAGTATATTAAAGAGAGATATTGAACTCACTTCTTATGCAATGAGTTTGGTTGATTTGATTGTTGAAGCACGAATTCCGCTGGCTTCTCCGGAATACTTCTGAGTTTCGCGTCGAACGTTTCCGATTTGTGATTTGACACGCTTCTCGATGGCGTGTACCTTGCGGCGATTTTTCGTCTGAAAGTAGAACATTTTTTCAATGAAGATGAGTAAGCGTAGGCGATAATGATAAAAGAGGGGAATGAAGAAACTAAGAATTCGTTATTGAGTATTATATTAAAGCTGATAATCAGTAAAAGGTCATACGGAATACTCGTGATTGGGTGTCATAATGTGTTGAACTAGCTTCTAACTTTTTCCACCCCAATAAGTTTTAGAAAAAAACTAAAATCTCATTAGTGCATGAAAATCTTATAACTTTGTTCTTTTCGGAAATATTTAAATTTAGATATAATTAACAAGCAGTTCTGTTTCTCGAAAATTACGAAAATGAATGAAAAGCCAGCAATACGACGTTCAGGAATTGATTGAAAGCTAATATCATGCAGCGATATCAGTGGTTGTCTTTTTTACTAAATTTCCGAGGCAGCTCGGAAGATGGAAAACTTGAGAGACTCGGTCGAATAAACAAGTTAGAGATATCGTGAGCCAATTACTGGTTGCGATAGGGACACCAACGCTCTAGTGATATTTTGGGTATTGATTATAGTGTGTGAAAACAAGTTGTAGAACATTTTGATTGAGAAATGAGAAAACATCCATTACAAAGGAATACTCTATATTCCGGATCATGAAGATGTTCAAGCATAAACTAATTTTATACCTATTCTAAAAATATCGCCAGACATAACATAGGAAGAAAAATAACTTACCTTGCTAGTTTTTGCCTTCTTCTTTCCTCGGCGTTCAGCATATTCCCTATTTTTGGAGATTTTGTCATTTGCTTTGCGTTTCTCATCAGCATCCATTGGAGTGAATGAAGGATGAGTAGAGGCAACGTCCGTTGAAACAGCATCGATACGATTCTGAAGGCCAACAGTTTAGTTTGTTCAAAAATACAATCTCTCGAAAAGTATGAAGGTAGTTGGCACATATCTTGAGTATCAGATAAAGAACAGTTCCTTTGTTTTTAACGGAATGGGGAGGAACTTTTTTTTCTGGGAAAGACATGTTATTGCTAGAAGCAAAAGAAAGTAATTCACTTACTTCGTTCATAACCGCTCCAAACGTTTTCTTAGTCAGCTGCACATCTCCGACCTTGGCAATCAATTCTTCCATATTTTCCGGCTCAGAAGCTGCCCATTTCTTAAGCTCATCCAGATGATCCGAATTGGTGTGCAGAAAATCTTCGCATTCGACTATTTTCTGAAAAGGAGAAGAATTTGGATAGGTGAAGAGAATATGCGTAAATACCTTTTCGAGTCGTTTCAGGGCCTCAGTGACAGGATGAATGTCGACAAGAGGATCTTCAAGTTTCTCCTTCGCAAACTGTTCGGCTCGTAAATTCAACATGAACGCAGTGTTCATAAGATACCTGAACGAAAGCCATAATTGGAAGACAGAAAACAGACAGGAAGACTTACGAAGCATATGTTTGGGCGACATACACCAACTGTGATCGGAGTGCGCATTTTGGAATCTGCTTAATCACATTCTCAAGTGGTTTTACAACGAGTTGGAAGATTCGTTTCTGAAAATCAATGATAGAAAAATAACGATTTCTCTGCTGAGAAGAGGAGAGAAAGGGGAGAGCAGATAACAAGAATGGGCAGCGTTATCAGGCGAAAAAAGAAACTAGTCACGAGCTCCGGAAACAGCTGTATTATATAATGCAGAGCAACTTATAGGAAAATCAAGTAGTGAAGTTAGGTGGAGGAAAAAATGTATTTGACAGAGACCAATGAAAATGGACCGCGACCGTTTCCTATGAGTAAATTTCGCTCGACTTCTGTAAGAGGTTTTAAAAAAGTCAACTAACAAAACGTTTAAGATAATATCGAAAATGTTTTGTTACTTAACTTGACTATTTGTCGATGTCTTTCATAGCAAACGAGATAAATCTGCCCAAAGTTAACAATTGATGTGCAACTCTATTATGTGGTGTTACAGTTTTTCAGTGTCGTCCGGTGAGAAATGAATAACGCCGAAGTGAAACGAGATAACGAAAATCCAAGCTATGCAGCGAACAGACGAATAAAAGAGCTATTTGAACATCTGATGCCTCAGACATCAGAAGGGCACTTTGCTTTCGCTTTTTAATGTTCACTCATAACAGTCTCATGTGGACGATTTCGATCGTTTCAATTGTGTATTTTGTCCGTAGGACAATCATCGTTTGAAAGAAATCGTCCAGTATCTTCGCTTGTGAAGATGGCAACCCGTTTTTGACGTAATCATGTGGCGATTGCGCGACTCGAAGACCGCTTATCTCATAGCCATCACGACTGAGAAGCAGAAATAAAAAGAACAGTTAGTGAAAGCGGGAGAAGAGAGAACAGGGAAATTTAACCTTGACGGCGATACGAATCACTTCTTGATAACACGGAAAAATAGGAAGCGATTCGAAACTCGAAACCTAGGGGACATCGAAACGAACATTTACTTCCTCTAACTGAAGAAATACAAAAATGCATGCAATTGAAAACAAAAGAAGCGTTGAATATATTTAGAACTCACCCTAGCTTCGAATTGTTGCAATAATTTCACAACTTTCTTGTTCTTCCGTTGAGCGTTTTCTTCATTGAACTCGAGAACAGTCTCAACCTAAATCATGGTTTTGGGTAATATTCACATAAAAATTTCTAACTTCAACTGTTTCCTCTTGTTCTCCTTCATCCTCCTCGTCATCATCAAACAGATCAGCGATAGCAGCTGTAGATTTATCGATCAGCTTCTGACGCGACAAGGCATCTTCTTCTTCAAGTTGAGCATCTTCCATTTCTTCTTCTCGCATTCCTCCCCAATCTTTGTCTACGAATCCAGTACCATAGAAATCCTTTCTCTCCTTTCCCCATTTGTTATCAGTGATGTCTGAAATAATTAATACGTTCTAAACTCAACTTTGAAAAGTACTACCATTAACATCGTCGTCATCAAAGTCAGACCCATCGTCTTCACTGCTATCCGAAGCTTCGGCTTCAACATTTAGCACTTCTTGAGGACGAGTAAAGACTTTCTTTCTGTGAAGAGCGTTTTTCTCAACTTTTCTATCTTTGTTGTGAAAAGTGTTGATCTCATCAATAAGGTCCTCGTTATCATCTTCGTAAGTGATATGCGATGATCTGAAAATACATTTTTGTAAATACGAATTACTAAACTGATGAATAACGTTCTCAAACACTTACGATTTTCCTTTTTTGGAAGACATTCTGAAGATACCTGAAAAAAATTCTGATTTACATGATTTCAACTCTTGTACGATTTGCACTGACCGAAATTTCAAATGTTGATAAAGATAAGTTTTTGAAATCAGTTGAAACGGAATAGTCTCTGGAGAAAACTTACAAAATACTTGGTTTCTACATCTTAAACTTAAAAGAAACTATATTTTTTAGATATTTTTCTTTGAGGAAAGTATTAAAAAAGGTTAGCATAGAACAACGGCTGCAAAAAAAATGTCGCTGCGGCAGGGTTGGTTGGGCGGAGTTTCAAGGCGCAGATCTGCGGCACGCTTTTTTCTGGCATTTTCTGCCATTTTCGTTTACGAATTTTGTGCCTTGATTTCAATTTTTGAACACTTTCAGTCACTTTTTTTCCCGATTTCTTTTTTTTTCGAGTTCTTAAAAAGTTTTTTCCTGATAATTGGTGTCAAACAAACTATTAAAACTTCATTATTAGTAGATTTTCGTATATATCTCGCCTTCTAATTTTTTATTATGAATTTGCAGTAAATATTCACTTGTAAATATTTGTAGATGACCGAGTATGACAAATTTGCTGAACAACTCCGTCATCCCGATAACCCAATCGTGTTTCTTGAAGTAACAGCAGGTGGGGCTCCAATCGGAACAATTGTTGTGAGTACTTTGAAAACAATATACTTCTGAATTTATATTATTTATCAGATTGAACTGTTTGCTGATGTGACTCCTAGAACAGCTGAGAACTTCCGACAATTTTGCACCGGCGAGTATAAAAAGGATGGCGTACCGAATGGCTACAAGAATTGTACATTCCATCGTGTCATCAAGGATTTTATGATTCAAGGAGGCGATTTCTGCAATGTATGGTCTAGACTGTTCGCATCTGTTAACTGAATAATATTTATAGGGCGATGGTACAGGTTTGATGAGTATCTACGGCTCGAAATTTCGTGACGAAAATTTCGAACTGAAGCATACGGGACCTGGAATGCTGTCGATGGCCAACGCTGGATCGGACACCAATGGATGTCAGTTCTTCATCACATGTGCAAAAACCGATTTCTTGGATAACAAGCACGTTGTATTCGGTAAGAAATTTATTTAACGAAAGTAAAATTTGAATTGAATTATTTAAAACATTATTTTATGGGTACGTAGACTTCTGAAGAACGAAGAATGAGGAATAGGGGTTGTGATTGTGGTATATATCTCCGACATCGTTAGTTCTCCATCCCAATTGTCTAAAACTAGGTTTTAATCACAATTCATTTTTCAAATACTCACTGATAGTGTTGGTGATACATAGATGGTGAAGAAGTAGTTGTTTTATACTGCTCGTAAGGATTCAAACCGTATAACATAGGTAATAGGGTCTGCATTGCAACGAAATTCAGATATATTAAAACGAGTGCAAGAATACGTATCATGCTTTGTTTTCAACTGAATCCGATCCAAAGATTTATCACCTTTTTATACAAGATGAAGCTGGTTGATGACGCTATGAGATCCTATGACCGATCATTTCTTGCAGGACGAGTACTCGATGGCATGCTGACAGTGCGAAAGATCGAGAATGTCCCAACTGGAGCTAATAACAAGCCGAAGCTGCCGATTGTGATTGTTCAATGTGGTCAACTCTAAACTAACCGATTTCTTGTTATTTTGATCTCTGTACCACAATAAATTATTTTCATTCTCTCACAATTATTGATGCGAAAGAAAATCGGTTTCAAAAACTGTATTCATATTTTTTGATTCCCTGTAAATAGGTGGTTTTTTAACTATGTATTTTCAGAATTGATGTCCAGTATCACGAGAAAAGAATTCAAATTTAAAGTGGTATTGCTAGGAGAAGGATGTGTTGGAAAGTCATCTCTAGTTTTGCGATTTGTGGAAAACAAATTCAGCACTAGACATCTGTCAACTATCCAGGTATTGTCTTTTAATCGAAAGAATTAAAATTTCCGTAGTCCAGGCTAGTTTCCAAAATAAAACCGTCCAAGTAGATGACTGCAAAGCAGAGCTCCACATTTGGGACACAGCTGGACAGGAGAAGTATCACGCACTCGGACCAATATACTATCGTGGCAGCAATGGTGTGCTTTTGGTCTTTGATATCACTGAACAACGGTCTTTTAAAAAGGTATCCTGGTTTTCGAAGAACAATTATATACATCAGTTTTCAGGTGAAAAACTGGGTTCTTGAAATCAAAACATGTCTCGGAAAAACCGCCGAAATTCTGATTGTCGGGAACAAAATTGATTTGGATGATGAAAGACAAGTATCACGACAGGAAGCCGAATCATATGCCGAATCGGAAGGAGCATTGTACATGGAAACTTCCGCCCAGGAGAATAGAGGGATATCGGAAGCTTTTACAGCTCTGACAGAAAGTTAGTTTCTGGTTTGAATTCAAATCATATGAAATTTACTTATTACAGAAATGATTCAGCATTCTCGAACAGCCACGGCCGAGGCACCCCTCTCGAACCGATCGATTCGTCTTATCGATGAAGAACCTTTAGAAGAGAGCAGACGCAAGAAATGCTGCTGATTATGCACATCCCACTGTTTCATAAATGTATATTTCACCTCGCTGGTCGACTATTTCGTCATATTTTTCCCCGTTCCCATTTCTTTGCCCGTTTCAGCACAGATTTTTCTAGTCGCCTCCTCCTTTCCCAGTTCACTTTCTCACTTTGTATCTATTTTTCAGAAGTTTGTTCATAATTCAAAGTTTTATTCAATCGATGGTTTTTTTAACAAACAAATCATTCAGATATTCATATTCACAGAGATATGATACACCCGTAGATAACAAGAGACGAAACATGATACAAAACAATACAAAAGACCCTGCACATTGTGACATCTGTAAATCTTTAAGAAGCCAGCTCCATGGAATGAGAAGATGGAGCAACGGTTCGTTTCCTACGGAAGAGAAGTTTTACGTCATGAGTTAGAATGAAAATGACTGGAAGAAGGACGAGAGCATGGAGCATTCCAAGAATACCAACGAGAATCACAGTTTTCCAGAAGACAGCAACAACGTAGGCGCGAACGAACATAAGTGGGAACATTCCCAAAATCGTGGAAAGACCTGATTGCATTACTGGCCAAGCAACACCGCGGAACGTGGACAAAAGACGGTCCCTGGTTTCAGCGTAGATGTGAGATCTCCAAAGTTGCTCCTGAAAAAAAATGTAAAAAGTTATCGAATTGAATATTCTCTAAATGAAGCCCACTCCAAACCATCAACTGTGAGCCCAATTATCTCTATTCCTGTAAAAGATATATGAGTTTTGTCAACTGATGAATTATTTATCATACCATCACCAAAATTTTATCAGTTGAAAAAGTTTTGATGTCTTTCACAGGAATCGAGATAAATGAGGTCAAAGTTGATGGTTTTTTGCGCTTCTGTTAGAGAAAACACGGTACTTGATCCTAAACTTACGTCAATATGCACATGAGCAAAATAATGATAACAGACATGAGCAGAATAGTCGACTGAAAATCCAATAGACATCAGCATGGAAATAAGTGAAACAGCATCGAGATTGACGTTCCAAAGATGAAGATACACCACGATTCCAAGACAAATAGATACGATCGAAACGACAACGGAGATGATTGCTTCGAAGTTCATCACGAACACCAAGACAAGAAGAGACATCAAGACAACGGCAGATACTGTAATGATGTATAATTTGTCAATTTGTTAGTCTTCTCAGCACACCTGAAGTAGAGATGAAATTGAATGGAGCAGAAGCTGCACTTTCCGTTGGAACTTTCTCGAAGGGATGATGTGAATGCACTGTGAAGAATGAAGAATAATTCTTCAAAATCTCTCTTCTATCCTCTAGAAATGATTCAACTTGAAGGAAATTCGAGAAGTTATGATAAGTGATAGTGAAGAAAAATCCGTCGATAATCTCATCTCCATTAGTATCATTTGCCATTGTAATGTATTTTTCATCCATCCCATATTCTCTATAGTTACTGACCATATCCTCTTTATGCCAGAAATCTTCAGTGTCTCCCCAGAAAGCGACAGCCTGTAATCAACTGATACCAGTTAGTTTTTCCTTTAGGGAACAACAAACATTAGAATACTCTCTTGTCCACAGATTCGTGTTTTCTTTTCCAGCACCATAATCTGGCATGGTCTCCAATTTCTTCACCATATCCTCGAACTTTTCTCTAATTTCTGCATTATCAAAGTCTGGCATTGGATAAACTCCAAAATTGACTACAAACGCTTCCCCAAGAACGAAATTCTGCATTCTTCTCGATATGTCAGTGAGGGGAGAGTCTTCAAGATACAGGTTTTCCATGTCAAAGTCAGTGTTGACATTTGAAACGAGGGCGAGACAGATCTGAAAATAAATGATGATTCGAGATGAAATTCTAGATATGAGTAGTACCGAAATATGTGCGAAAAACGCGAGGACAACAATGACTTTGGCAATTGAAGTATGTAGAAAATCGATGAAAACTTCTAGAATATTTCTGATGTGGGCTTCTTGAGAAATCGTTGGAACAAATGTGAGAAGAGATCCTAAAGAAGAGGAAGAAGACCCTTCTTCTTCTTTTGTCTTCTCGATTTTGGTTTCCGTCTTGGTTAATTCCTTTTCAATATCCACTTGTTTCCGAACAAAAACTCCAACTAGAGCCGTGAAAAATGTCATTTGGTAGACGAAATCAATGGCAAGTGCAACGGTAGTATAAAGACAGAATAGTTGCACTACTGGCATGTTTGAAAATAAACCAGTGGCAAAACAGGCGACATCTGAAATTATAGAAAGGTTCTTACTGGACGGTGAAGCATTGTGAGGCTACCTGTGACAGATGTAACAGTGACAGAAGCACCAGAAATGGCTACCGATTGTCCAAGACGAACATCCAGGGATTCTCCTTTTCTAAAAAAAAACGTTGATTTGAAATTAGTAATGAGATTTTGCTGACCGAAATTGAAAGTCTAACTTAGAAATAATAGTGTTACCAGTGTCCAGAATAAGTTAAATCAGAGGTTAGGCGGTAGTTGCGGAAAACGGACCAGTGGCGGCTAAAGGTCTAACTTGTAAGAGTTGATTATAACTGGCGTGTTCGAGAAAATTCGGAAAAATTTGTGACAAAAAGTATGAAAGACAAGGCAAACCAGTAGACCTGTATTAGAAGGGCCCTTAAACTGAAGAGTCCCTCTAATAGAAGGGACCTCTGAAGGGGCTTGGGAAAAACTGAAGGGCCTCCATCAAAATAAATTGTTTAAAATGAAACATTTCTGGGCCCCTGTAATAGGAGGGCCCTTTGGAGATACCCTTCTAATACAGATTTTACGGTAATTAGTAACTGAACCACAATGGAAAAACTTTTTTTTTCGTAAAATGTTATTTAAGAAACACAAAATCCAAAAAACCAAAAAAAGATTTTTCTTATTTTTTTCAACTCAAAAACCATAGTTTTTCTTTTTATGGTCCGATTAATAATGATTGCTTTTCAAATCATTTCTCATATATTTTTCCCAGATACATATAGCTAACTCAGATCTTCAGCCGCCGTTTGTACGCTTTTCGGCAACCCTTGCCTACTTCTGGGCTATAAATATCGTCGTGGGCCAATAAAGTCTTTCTTTTGGGAATAGAAAAACACCCAAGACAACTAGACAGTAGTAACCTATCATTCTCAACTGTAACCTTCTCAGAATATCGCTGTTTTCAAATTGACCGTCTTGGATCAAGTTGATCAAAATTACTAACTACTCCGGAATGCACTTACGTGGATTGTCTCCATCCAGCCAAAATCAAAAAGGCATCATCAATACCAATAGTGACTACCAAAAATGGTACAACTGTCAAAATATTACTGAATGGGTATCCAAGTCCCCAGAGAAGTCCAGTAGTCGTCCAGAGAGCCATTCCCGGAGATAAGACTCCAACAATACTCTAAAGTTTCAAAATCAAACTTTTCTGCTTTTGGGAACCCACCTGCCAGTGCTGACTGGTATACAATGGGAATCGAACCAAAGTGACCAACATGAATGCAGTTAGAACAATTATCGTCAATCCCAAGAATGGTAGTGATGTTATTGTAATCGCTCTGAAATTTTAACTTTTTCTTCTGCAATTTTAGAAACTATAGCTTAGCTACCTTTGCTCTTCAAGTTCCCTTGTCCTAGACAACACGGAGTATTTGATATGATGAGAGATATCTGTCATAGAAGCGAAGAAGTTTCTGACTTTGGTCTCGAAATCTGCTGCTAATTGTTTTCCATTGGGGAGTGAAGTGTCGACCATATAATGAAGAATCACCATCTTTGCCTCTGTCACATATCCTTTTTCAAGTTTCAGATCTCCCAAGGAATATCCAACGAAAATCTTCTTCTGTAGAGCCTCCGCATTGGGAAATGTCAGCTTGAATGAGCTTCTCGCAGTATCATTCAGAGTGGCTTGTAAGAATGCGAGTACAGCGGCGTTACTATCATTACAATAGATTCCACACAAATTCTTGTATGCAATTTGATGATTTCCGTCCCATGCTGTAATATTGTCGGCAACAAACTGGAATCAAAAATAAGACTGATTCGAGAGAGACAACTAATTAAACCGACCTTGTGTGCTTGCGACACTTCATCGAGTGCTTCATTTGTCAATATATTCCCTCTGTTCTTCTTGGACACGAGGATTTGCATCTGACAAAGAGGAAAAAGAACTAGAAAATGAATTAGAACAAAAGGAATACTTACTCGATGATGATGAGACCCAGACGCGTACTCGAACCTCTTTATACCTGCTTCTTCCACTCTTGATAACCCATTTGTCGGGGCGTAAATGTCCCAAATGTCGTCTTGAGTGGAAAATGAGAGAAATCCAAACGTCGATACAATTGTGAGTAATGCAGGGACTAGCTGGAAAGGAATCTTCTTTTTTTACTTCCGGGAGGTTTCTTCAGGTCAAACTTCAAACCGTTTCGAAAACCACTCCATCGTACTATTTGAACTTGTTTTTCGTCCATTGCCTCAAGGCTAGTAGGACGACCAATATTTGAATTACACAGAAAATGGGGTCATTCAGTTTTAAACTTATGATGAAAAAAGTTATGACAGTATTCTAGAAAAAACAACTAGTTGACCTCAACTTGGGCTTTAGTATACCGTAAATCAACTTTGAGCTCACTTATCTCCCTTCCTATGAGAGGCACTAAAAATATGTCAACTAATAAAATGTTTGTTATTTTATCTTTAACATTTTATTAGTTGACAACTTTTTTGTATCTTTAACAGCAACCGAGATAAATTAGCTCAAAGAGTGGAGCCCTTAAAAGTGTGGGCCCTTCTATTACAGGTTTTACATTAAATTCAGACTTGTATGTATTGAAACTCTGTAAAAATATCAACTTACAATGAAAAAGAATGGTTTTCTTGCCACATACTGTCCATACCCATCGAAAAATCTCTCCAGCTTTCGCATTACCTGAAAGGCATAAATTACAAAAATCAGAAAATCAGATGACGTCAAAAAGGAGGAAGAAAAGAAAGAAGAAGTGTGAATTTATGAGAATATTATAATCCGTAAAACAAGGTTGACTGTAGAATAGGTGACGAATCGAATGGCTAAATCAAACCACAAAGAAGAGTCAAAATACTCATCTGAAGCGAGACGAAGGAAGAGGAGTCCGGTAGGATTATCGAGAAAACTGTGCGGGGACGGAATGAGAAGATCTACCCTCTCACCTTTGCTTTCAATTCAAGACTGTGTAGCAGATTATTCACCGAAGGATGACACCTCACACCGTATCTTTTTTGTAAGAGACGCTTTAATTGAGGGTTGATGCTTCTATGAATGAATTAAATGAATCGAGGTGGTGGGTCGAAGAATACAACAGCAGGTGATGAGAAGGAAGGAGGGCATGAAAAAAGGAAGAGTGTGAAATGGTAGAAAAGATGAAAGTCATTTGAGATGAGGAGAGAAATAGAGGCAAAGGACGTTCTGAAATTAGTCGAGGAAATACGCGGAACCGCCTGTAGTTACAGCTTTTTGAGGGATGGTAGGAAAGCCCTTAACTATGTAGTGAACTACCTTACAAAAAGGTGACAATGGCCCACAAACATGTTGTACTACTAAACCAACTGTTTTTTCGCCCACCTAAAAAAAACTTTTGTCTCCAATGAGGCGTATCTACGACGAGATAAGGTGTACTTCTTGCGCAACCCGTTTTTTTTCGAATTCGCAAAAAATGTCTTTATAATTTTTAGATTACGGTCAGATCAGTAGAATAATAAAAAACAATAACAAGAAAAAATTGATCCCTGATCGGAAGATATGAATGGCAACAGGATGGGATAAAGATAAGGAGGATGAGATAACAGGGTCACAATCACAGAATCAGCTTTTCCAATAGACTGGTTTTGATTTGAGGATAATCAGAGATGATATCATGGAAGGTAGCTCTATGAGTTTGGGATATTGATGGTAGTCAAAGTCCAACTCAAAGTCAGGAAACAAACAATACCGTAATTCCTCGAATGGAGGCCCACTCAACTTTGAGCTTAATTATCTCGATTCTTGTGAAAGATATCAAAAACTTGCCTATTAATAAATTATTTATCATACTGTTATCAATATTTTATCAATTGATAGAGTTTTGATATCTTCTACAGGAATCGAGTTAATTGAGCTCAAAGTTGGTGGTCAAAGAAATCAAGATATAATCTTAAGCTGGAATTGAAATTTTGTTCAAAAGGTTGTCTACTCACAAGTTAACGAAAATTTGAAAACCGATTTTATTTTTATCCAGATCTTAACGTTCGCAGACACACCTGTCTAGCTTTTAAAAAGCGTAACTTTCGAAAAAAAATATCTCCTAGGTGATCTATGAGATGATAATGGTTGAGAATTTCTCTCAGAATAACTCGACTTGATACGGTAAGAAACGTCTGATCATGAAAACTATAATTCTGCAATAAAAAAAAACAGGCAAGGAGGCGGTTCACCGAAACAAATATATACCCCTTTTTCGTTTTTTTGGGATGTCTCTAACTACGTTATCAGGTGACCCATGTCTTATCTCAAAATCAAATAGTTGTTAAAAATAATAACAGATGTTCTTCTTAAAACGGAGAGAGAGAAACTTGAAGAGAAGGGGTGAGACAAACCAAAAAACGTGTTTTTTCTGTTTCGAAAACTAAGAAAACTAAGTCGAGAGAGAAGAAAGTGGTGGTAGTTTTTGAACTATCAAGAATAGATGATGTTGGAAAAATGGTAGAATGGTGTATTGGTGTAATGTGAATATTGGCATAACTGGTAGAGAGAGGGAATGGGGAGGCAATAACATTAAAATTAAAGAGTGGTTGTGGGTTTTCGGACGAGAAAAAGAGCGAGTGGAAAAGAAGAAACAGGTAGAGAAAATCCGAATGGAGTCGGTTCAAAAAATCCTAGGAGGAAGAAACGGGATGGCGAGGAATCGGAACGTAAATAAAGAGATATGCGATTCGAGGAGAAATGTCATTGAAAGATCAACTTGCGCAATAGAAGAAGGGGGCTATGTGAATTAAGCAGATTGCCAATGCAAAAGAAGAAAAAGAAAAAGAAGAAGAAGCTGGGAAGAAGGAAGAAGGAAACTGGAGACCCTGGGGGTCTATTCGGACTAGAGGGACAAAAAAAGGAAAGAAAGGGAATGATCACACATACTGTCACGGACACTATCTTCTAAGCAAAACAGTTTGGAAAACATATACAAGAAGCAGACGTATACACCTCTACAGTACAAAGAGACTGGTTTAATGTCAGCACGGATGGGTTGCTGGATGGCAGAAGATGAAACGGTGTCTACCTGGGAAGTGTATAGTCTGAGGAAGAAGAAGTACCCCGAAAGAGAGTGACGATTAACTGCCAATTTGGTTCTTTTGGAACACATCTATTATACTCTTGGTTTTTGAAGTTTCAGGAAATTAAATTAAAATAATTTTCCAGTTGAACGAAGAACAAACGGTTCTTGTTCATCTTTAGGTTAGGTGTCCATTCTCAAAGATCAGTTAAAAGTAAGTTTAATAGGATCTTTACGTCATAATGATGATTTTTGGTTATCCTCACAATCTGTTGTTTGTTGTTCGATCTGGGACTTTGAGGTTACTGTAGAAAGGTGGGTTTATCTGATGGGGTTACTCATTTAGAAAAGGTTTGTACCAAAATGTTAATCAAGCAAAAATTTTATTCAAGAAAAACATTTCAACACGTTTCGGTGTCAACAAATCCGCTATAAGGAGCCTCTAATAAGAATAAACATGATGACATAACTTCAAAAGTGAACTCGAAAACTTGTTGCAGATTAGAAGCCCACCCAAACCGTCATCTATGAGCTCAATTGCCTCGATTCCGGGGAAAGATATCAAACAATTGTCGACTTATAAATTACTTATCACCAGTCAGTTTGCCGCGCCTCTGGCGCTTCAAACAGCTGGCTGGTGTGCCTACGACGCGATTTAACCTATTTACTGCCCGTCGCTCCACTCCTCACTTTTTCATTTCTCTTTTTCAAAAGGTCACGTTGAATTAGATTTAATTTTCAAGGTTTTCAAAAATCGGATACATTCGTCTTTTATATTTTTATTCACGTTACGCAATAATTCAATAAATCAATCAATATTAGGTCACGCCCCCTCCTTCTGTCCACGTTCAAAAATGCCACGTATTGCAAAAAAAACGCAGTTCTCTGTGAAATCAGACTCTTTGAATTTTATTGTTGAATAATTTTCACAAGCCCTTTTTTCTGGTAAGAAGCTCTATGCATACGCTGCTTTTTTTGTTCATTTTTTTTCATCTTTTGATTGGTCGAATGCGAAAAAAGTACTAGAAGGCCCTAAGGGTCGCCATGTTTTGGGGTTCATGGCTAGGTGGAATCCACTGAACGTCCCCCTTCTGCAAAAGATTCAATCAAAGATTTAAAAGAAATGAACAAATATCAGATAAAAGCGTACGCATGGCTTCTTACAAGGGAAAAGGAACTTTGGAAATTATCCAACAATGGTCCTCGGAGACCAGGGCGGGGGGACCCTTTCATGTACTGAGCCTCTACGTGGCGAAAGGAATCAACAGACAAAAGTCTGGCACTATTGATACTTTTGTTTATTTTCATAATATTGTTTTTTTCATAGAAATTGTGTTTTTCCGTAGATTTCGACAATTTTCAAGAGTCCGAAGCTCGTCTTTCAGGTTTCCGATCATTTTGAACATTCTGGAGAGTGTTAAACATACACAGATAAAAACATTGCATTCACATATATTATTAAACTACCAACCCTCTTTTATATATAAGGAAAATAATATCACCAATATCTTATTATTAGGTCGATTTTTCATATTTTTTGCAGGAATCGAGATAATTGAGCTCATAGTGGACGGTTTGGGTGGACTTCTGTTAGATAAGTACGGCAACCTAATTATCTAACTTTTATTATTCTGTCAGAAGGAAACTGTTGGTCTATATGATACTTCTCCTAGATTTTTCATGGGAAACAAATGCCTGATTTCTCCCCAAAATTTTTTTTTTGTTTTTAGTCTCGAGAGTTCCATTAAAACCTTTTTTCGCTCTTCTTTAAAAATTATTCAAATCATACACGTTGGGAGTTTTCGGAAACTACCAACACTTTGAGATAAACACTAGCGACTTTCGAACATGAAGTGAATAAGTTGATATTTGTTCCAAAAGTCTCAAAAGTGCATATCAAACGACTCAAAAACTTCAAATCACAATTCAGAACATTCAGTACAATCGTATCCATTGTATTCCTATTCCATTCCTCTCCCACAAAGACATTGTTTCCGAGACAGTGGAGAACATGCATAAATACAGAAATTAGTATGTCAAGCGATGGAAAGTTCAAGGAAAACTTTGTCAGGAAACAAGATTCGGAAAACTTCATACTTTACATAAATAATATACAATTTAATAAATAGTGAGATCAAAGGTTGGCAATTATCAGTTCCTATGTAATTTGTCCTTCTGACACGCTTCTAGGAAGAATACATCTGTAGATGTGTGAATTCGAATATTATCCACAGCACATATACTTTCAGTAAGACCGAAATTTTCACAAACAAAAGCGATCTGAAAACAGACATTTACAAGGGAAGGTTTTTCAGGCAACGGTTGAGAATTTGCTCAAAATTTGCATACTTTTAGTTTAAGACATGCTCTATACGATGACGAAAAAATTTTTAGCCCGTTCTCACTCCCAGGCCGAAAAACTTTGTCTGAAATTTTGGGCCGATTTCGGCGCGCAGGCGATTTCGGCTTCTCCCACCCTCCTCTACCAATTCTGCGTGAGAGGAAAATATCGGTTGTGTGGTGTTGTGGTAAGAGGGTGACTCATTAGGGTTGACTATGCTGGTTCGACCCCCACTGTGGTAAGACTTTTTTGCATTTTTTGAAACTAATTTTTGATTTCAAGTTTGCCCCCCTAGACACTTTATGACACTTTTTGTTTAATTTCAAAGGTTTTCGAAGTAAAAAAAAAGATTTTATGAGAGTTTGAGGAAAAAATAGATAATGGTCTTTTCGACCGGTCTTTACATCCTCCTATCGTTCAAAACGAAAATCTCAGCCTCTGAAAATTGCTCGATTTTGCCCTTTTCGAAGTGAGGTACTGTTAAATCGATCACATACAAGATTTGAACCTATTTCTATAGGTTTCAGTGAATTTCAAGCGATATTTCAGAAATTAGGAACTGTCAAAGTTCTAACAACAATCAGATTTTGGAGATTTTTCGAGCCCAAAGACAACATTGGGCTGTCAAAATTTGTCAGAATGCTATTTTTATCGTTTCTGAATAATTGGAACATTTTTTGCACTTCCAAAAAATTTTCGAGAAATCACTTTTGCAGTGTGGGGAACCCATGGTGATTTTTTCAAAAAAAAGTTTTTTTTTTGAAAATGTTCACAAACTGTTTCAGAAGATAGAAAATGTTAAAAAATGAGTATCGCACTCAAGAAAATCCTGAATAGCTAATTTTTAACCTTGAAAAATGCATGTTTTTGGTCAAATTTTAGTACTGAAATCACTTTCAGAGGCCATATTTCGACTCCTTTTGAGAACAGGCTGAAAATTTTTTTGGATTCGGATTCAGCATGTTCGAATGTACTTTTGTACAAATTTTGAGCACATTCTCAACCGTTGTCTAAAAAACCTTCCCTTGTTAGAATCAGCGATTAGCTACCGTAATCTCTCTAAAAGAAGGCCACTCAGATCGTCAATTTTGGGCCAATTTTTCTCGCTTCCCGTGAGAGATATCAAAAAATGATCAACTGCCAAAATCTTTATGAGAACATCAAAAATATTTAGTCAGTTGAAAAGTTTTTGATATCTTTCACAATAAATGAGATATATGAGCTCAAAGTTGACGGTTTGGGTGGCACTCTATTAGAGTGTTTACTGTAATTTGAATACCTTGGATGTGTTTATAGGGCACTCGAATTTCGAAAATTGCCAAAGAACTCCAGTTTGTTCAGATGGTGTGGAGAACGGACAAGTTAGTTGTCCATCTGCTATGCAACAAGCAATCAATCTGGTTCCCATTGCAAACTCCAGAGCATCGAAAATTATCTGAAACCTTGTTTTTCACAGTTGTTAACTTTAACAAAAATATTTTGTGGAAAATGCTTACCGTATGAGCTTGTGTCATTTTTGTCTCCGTCTCATGACAGCAATTTCTCCAGTTGGAACGATGGCTTCAGCAAAACTCGATGCATGTACTGTAACTTTCACTTTTTTTCTGAGCACCTCAATTATCTTCAAACCTTTCTTCAGATGGAACTTGTTGGACACCCCAATAGGAGTTGTCCATCCACAGAAATCCTTTTCAAAAAGACAACCACCTGGTGTCGAGCACGTTGATGGTATGCCAAGTGGGATTCTGAATAAATTCCAAGGAATTTTTAGATTCAAAATAGTCAAACTCACTGGGCATGTTGCTGAGAAGGAAGACTGAAAACTCCATTTTGTGCTTGAACTTGCATTGGTTTCCCCTTTGGCAAAAACTTGACAATACTTTCGGATGGGATTGGGCGGATAGGGAGGTGTTCCACAGGTTTCAATGTTTTATGGATCTGAGAATTCAAGCACATCTATGCATACATCAAAAGTAATCTTACAACTTGTCCATTGGTGTCAATCGACTTTTTAGAAGTTTCCACTCTCTTTCCTTGTAGTTTTCCAGCAGTTCCCGATTTCAACGTCGGAGTTGGTGATGTTGGTTTGGGAGCAGCGGTAGTTGTTGATGAAATATGAATATCCTTCAGAAAAAATGTGAAGTTTTTAAAAATGAAACATCATCTTGTTTAAAGAAACACAAACCGTATCAAAATCACTCTCATCTTTTTCTTCATCATCATTCGATTCGTAATTCGGATCCAAGAAGTCCACAAATTCACTGCCGAGAAGATCAGTCAGTGCTGAAAAAACATCAACGACTTTGAAAAAAAAGAGGCACAAAAACAATCTTACGATCAACTGGAGTTTTCGGAGAAGCGGGAACGACGGCTTTGGCAGATAAAGAAGCAGCTGCTGCTGCGGCTTCTGAAAATCGACGATAGATTAGTTTTTCGTGAGAACTAGATCTTACGCTTAGCGTTAACTTCATCTACGACTTTTGCGATTTGCTGATCTACATTTTTCAGGTAAGCCTGGAAAAGCAGAATGTTTATGTTGACATAAATCATTATACGTACCTGCTTGTCCTCTTGTTTTTTCAGATTTTCCTTCATTTTCTGATTCTTCTGTGCCAATTTTTCCAGTGTTACACTAGATCTTGCCTTCTGAAAATCCCTTCCACTCCTAATCTCTTCTTCTCCAATCACTCACTTGTCTAGGCTTACTATGTTGTCTTGTCCTCTTCTTCGTCACATTTCCCTCAACTTCATGAGTCGGCGCATGATCACATGAATCATAGTCGACAGAAATTCGGTCAACGATAATGGTGGCTTCATTTCCCGCATCCATTTCAGCGTCCGCGTTTTCCACAATAAACACCAACTGAAAGAATCACATCCATCACATACACAGTGTGAATGGGAAAAGAGAATGGCTTACACGGAAATTCTTGTTTTTGTCGATGTCTCGGAACTTGTAGGTGTTCAATTTGCTCTGTTTCGAGTGACGAGCGACTTGGCAGTTTTCAGTGGTTGGAGAACCGTCTCCAGCTAGTTGCCAACAGATTTTCAGCATCGCATTTGCACTTTGCCAGTGCCTGAAAGATTCCAGCGTTGGATATTAATTCTTTGAATTCTCAAACAGCACTAGTCAGTGATCTTTTTACAGTACCATTCAATAAGATGTACAAAAACGTATTTTTCAGTTTGTTTTTGGCCGTTTTGATCATTTTGGACGGCTGTCGAGTTTCCGATCACTTTGAAAATCTTCAAGGATGTAAAACAAACCGAGATTGAAAATTATGTATATGTTGAACTTTTTGAAAATTTCCAAATTTAAGCTATTTGCCGATTTCTGAAAGACACCCTTTCTTGGTTCTTTTTTGTACTGATAAGGTGAAAAAACATGTGTCTTTGAGAAATCAAAAAATTCCTAGCTCCAGACTCCTAAAAATGATCAAAAATAGCAGAAAACCAACTGAAAAATATGTTTTTGTAAATCTTATTGAGCTGTACTGTATATCTTCAAAAAATTCAAATAGTTATGAGCTCTCCAAGACGATTCAAAAGTTCTTAGACCTGTAAAATTCAAGTTTTCTTCCAATACCTACACCTGACGTTCCACATCGCATCACAATGTGATGACAAACGAAGCGCATCAAATCGAGACGGATATCGAATTGGGAAAAGTGATTTTCTTTTCGAAATTATTACCTAAACTTAACGGTTGCCTGGCCGGTTGCACTGCAAACCGCGCACGAAATCAGTGACGACTTCTTTTTATTCTCCACTCGAATCGCATAGTTTCCAGATGGCGGAGGCCGACTTTTCCCAGTCAAAAATATCTTTCTGAACTCATTTAAATCCAGCTCATCGGCACTTTGAATCTCCCATTGCTCCTCTTCTCTGGTCGTTGCCCAACAGCAATCTTCAGAAAAATCACAATCGAGAGACGATTTCGCATTGACGACGGCTGAATTGAAAAATTGGAATCAAGAAGAGGATTAGAGAACTTGAAACAACAACATATGTATCTCCCTCTCATTACGTAATACATAAACGATTTTTTATATATTTTCGATCGGAAGATGTTTGAATATCCATTTTAAGCACTTGAAAGTTTCATTTTGACCCACATGCGAAGTGAAAATTTTCATGAAAAGAGAAGCTAGTTTTTTGTGTGTTTTGTGAATTCAGGAGAAGGTGTTTCAAAGAGAAAACGCATCGGAAACTTTTAAGGAAACCCAGTAATTCATAATAGGAATCTAGCATAAAAAGAGGTTTCGGAGTATTTCAGGCTACCTAGAGATACTCAAAGTTTTAACTACCGTAATCTATAGATCTGAACTGTTCGATATTTAATTTTCCACTCAAACAGGATACCGTAAAACCTGTAATAGAAGGGCCCCACACACTGTCAAGTTAGCTAAATTTTTCACTATATTATGATAAACAATTTATCAGTTGACAATTTTTCAATATCTTTGACAGGAACCGAGATGAAGTGGCTGAAAGTTCAACCATAGGGGACCTTCTATTACAGGTTTTACGGTAAGCTATGGGTAGGATAAGCTATCAGAATCGTTTATCAAAAAGTGATGTGTAGTTTAATCAAAATCAATTCGAAAGAACACTAATCCTATTACAGAGAGGGTAACATGGAAACAAAGCAGAACACGAAAAATGAATCCCCCCTATCAGAATCAAAAAAAAAAAGGCACTCACCACTTATCACGGAACATGCAAAAATATAAAGAAGAAGATAAAAGTGCATTTCCGTTGTTCCAAAAAAGTTCTTCTCCTATTTTCTCACTCTCTTTTTACTATCGGTTGCCGAGATGAAATGGAGAGGATACAGAGAAACGGTGCGAAAAAAGAAGAAGGCGGCGTCGGAGGACAACGTCTTCTTCTCCGATTCAGTGTTAAGTTCGGAAGCAACACAAGAAGCTTCTGTGGTCATAGTCATACCTGTCACCAAACACGTTTAGCATCGTTGCGCAGAAGGCGACAATTCATTCAATTGTATACGAGTGACCGGCCCGCCAGCCACCCACCGCTTCTCATTTTTAGAATAACATTCGATTCAAGCGAAAAGTATCATGTTGCCATGATATAAGACGGTTGAAATTTGAAGAATTTTTTTCGCATGTATAGAAACAGCTCGAATTGATGATTCATGTACCATGTAGCCTTTATTTCACCAGATATCTGAATTTTCTGTACAAAAATTATGAATATTCCAGAAATTAGTCAAAGTTATAGAAAATGTTTATTTGATGGGTCTGAAAATGATCTTGAACGAAAAAATAGGTGGACAAATTGAAATTGGACAGTGTATTATCAAATCCAGGTAACAACCAATCTTCCTGCACTTTAAACTCCTTGTTGCTCTGTGCCTTCTTTTCTTCTACAGGTACAGAATCGGTTTGTCTCCCGATTTTGTACTTTTTTAAAGGAAAAAGTGGTCACGCCAAAATCAAGTATTATTTGAATTGTGCCACGAGGTACAAAATCGGTAGTTTTCAGAAATGAGAAAAAAATTCTTCAAATTTCTACCGTCTTATATGAAGGAGAAGAAAACTTTTGAAGATCAACAACTTTATTCGTTTCATAATAATTCTATAATTGCATAACAAACATCTTATAAACCCGTTTCTAATAAGGAAAAATTATCGATACATACAGAAAGTCCTTGATTCGTTAGTCACCAAATATATTTGGATGAGTGAAACTGTAATCTCTATAACATCCTTTAATAGTTTCAAAGACTTGAAGACAGACGAAATAGTCGAAGACGTTGGATGGAGTCGCAACGTGAGTTCGACAGAATGGCATACACTTTCCACCTTGGAATGAAACAAGTCCCGCACGTTCACAGCACGCAGAGTGATCTGCTTTCGATGAGGCGCAATCATAGGCTTGACCGAGTTGAGGTCCAGGGCATTGGTTGGTCAGGAAGGCAGCGACGAGCTGAAAAAAAAAGTCCATGAAATTAATATTACGGCCTAATAGGAGACCCGGGACCTAAGGCACATTGAGTTCTTACAATTAGGTTACAGTGGTTCAAATGGTACCCAACGGGTTTAGGGTGTTTTATCATGAGCCTATAATTTTGAACAAAAAGCGAAATAGCCTATAAAAATATTTGGTTTTCTTTTCGTCCTCCCACTTGTACCACAAAATTCCATATACCCTTGGAACCAATTTATCCTAACAACTAAGAACTAGATGTACTCGTTTTCAATGGACCCTTGGATACTCGGCCCAGTTTCTAATCTCTTCTAATTTAAAAAATTCTTACCGTTTTATCGTTGAATGTATCGTAGTTGCACAAGTTTTGGCAAATCGGTCCAATTCTTTGTTTCCGACAACAAAGATCTAATTTCTGATTTGGGTTCATTAAAGGAACATAAGTTGATTGTGGTGTGGTTAGAACTGAAATAGGCTGATGAGGAAATTGTGGAGCGGATGGTTGAGTTGGAAGTGCTGGAGGCGGTTGCTGTGGGAAACGAGTCGGTGGATGAGTTGGAGCAGGAAGAGGAGCACTTGTGAAATTGAACATCTTCGGAATGACCATTTCCTTTCCACGGTAGATCAGTGGTTTCTGGAGGTTGTTCATCACATGTGGATGGACTTTCACAAAGTTTCTCAGCTGTTCAGATGTTTTGTCAGGAATGGATCTGGAAATTAATGTACTCTATTCAAGATAATATCTCTATCGGATCTACCTGACGAATGGAGGAGGTCTCTGATCCTTGGTGACTACAGCAACACTGTCTACCGAATAATCGATTGGTGGAGTTGGCTGAAACTAACTAGTAGGAAAAATTCAAGAAGTGACTGACCTTCTTCGCAATTTGGTTTGGCGGGAAAATGCTAAACTCTCGTTCCTTGGCTTGATTGAAGGCGGTGTCTGAAACATTCAATTCAGCTTTTTTAAATTTCAATTAACTATTACCCATTGCTCCTGGAGATGGAAGAGGAATAGGTTGTTGCCCGAAGGTCCGAGAGAAACTGTGTGGACGGAGAGGCAGCTAAAGTTTAATTTTTTTGTTAGACATAATCAAACGTTACTTACTCTATGCGTTTCAGTAGGTTGGGCGGGCTGCTGAATGTTCTGTTGAAATTGGTACGGAGGCTGTCCAACACCAATAGGAATGTACGGATCGAATGAGTCATTTCTTGTCGGTGGAGGTGGATTTGGGTTTTGTGGAGCAAATGGTGCAGGTGTCCATGCTGGTGGAACAGTTTGTTGGGGGAAGAACGGATTTGGAGGAATTAGAGAAGGCGGTTGTGGAATAGGTTGGAAGAATTGAGTGAGAGGATTCGGAGTGGATTGGTGCTGTGGATGAAGGGGTGGAATTTGCCATGGTTGAGCTGGGAATCTGACCGGAGATGGTTGAAGCATCTGTGGAGGAGGAATTGGATCGACGAATTGACGACGAACTGGCTGGAATATATATCCTTTCAAAAAGTGAAGAATATGTAAATAATGTTTTTGATCGAGGCTACTGTATGATTCATGTTTTAAAGATATCAACTGTAAGAGCCCAGAATGATTTTATAATGATGAAATTTGTCAATTTTAGAGCTAATATTCTAATGCTAACATGTATAAGTTTTTCTTAAAGAGTCAGAGGGTCCAGCCCCTGTTCAATAAACTAATCTAGTACACAGCGTTAATGAATTTGAAAAACGCACACTATTATGCTTAAATGGAGCAACAGTACTTGTTGGTTGAGGTGGAAGCTTGACAAGTTTCAGATCGCTCGGAGTTCTTTGTGGTCTTTCCTTGACTAGTTGCTCATCTTCTCTTACGCTCCCTTCGGAAACTGTCACAAAATCTGGAAGTTCATTATCACCCAATCGTTTTGGAGCCAAAGTTGTTCTTGCTGGTGGCGCAGTCACAAAGAACGCATCAATATCATTTACAGATCCTTTTCCATCAATCAGCATAGACTCGTAAACTGAAAATTAGTCGAGATGAGTGCAAAATTGAAAACACTGAAAACTTACGAATAGCTTCTTTCTCTTTCGGACGAATAGCATTGATATAGAAACTGAAATATGTCTCAATGAAGTTTTGTTTTCTGCTAAAAACATACTTGTCTTTAGTATAAATCCTTTTATTATCCAGTGGCGAGTGTATAACATTATCCATTACTGACGGTAAATCTCGATGAAAGCCATAATTCACTGTAATGATGCATTTCTTAAGTATTGCTTTTTGACGATTCAAAATATTCTTACATTTTCTGGTTGGAAGACTTCTCCGTTTTGGTAAGTGTGTTCTCTCTACTACCCGCAATGGTTCTAACTGTAAATATTTTGAATAGACCTTCGACGGGAATACGGTAGAACTCACACAAAATACTACATCTAATATTAGAATTCCAACAATCCATAATCTCATTTTCGTATATATATCTGAAACTTTTTAAAGCTAATATTTTTGACAGGAGACCAAATGGCTTGTGTTGTCAATTATTGCATATGATCCTCTCGTGTCACTTTCTTCAGAGGAAATCGTAGGAAAAAGAAACGAGCGAACCGAAACAAGTGAGACCGATTTACCTAATAAGGGGAGGGTGGGCAGGAAGTGTATGGAAGCAAAAAAGAGAACTGACTGGGTGGAAGGATTGTACGATTCTTGGAAGAACAATAATAAGGAATCAAAAGTAGTAAAGATCATGAAAAAAATATTATGAGCTATGTTTTATTGTTGGTAATCGGAACTAGAAGGCTGATGAGGTATTCATAGAACAGGTCGTGGGAAAGTACGGAGAAGGAATTCCTTATTAATGAAAAAAAAACAACGATGGAGATTTTAAAAGTTTTAAGGAAATTCTATAGTTTCTAAAAGTTTGAGAAAAAGGAAGTATGAGGAGAAAGTATTTCAGTTGACTTCCATGAAGTCACCGTAAGCACTCCAATATAATGTCTCCATATACCGTTAAAATTGAGCCAATTTTTTTCGATTCCTGTAAAATATATCAGTAAGTGGCCAACTGAAAAAAATATTTTTGGTATTATGATAAACATTTTGTCAGTTGATCACTCTTTGATATCTTTCACAGGAAACAAGATAATTGAGGTCAAAGTTGACTGTTTGGGTGGCACTTTATTGGACTTTATCAATTTGAACCTTTAGAAAATTTCGAGAAATAAACTTTCGAAAATTTCGAATTACTGTTCTCTCGAATATTTCAGAAGAAACTCAAGCTGATTCGAAAATATGCATACCGCTTCTAAATATTCGAGAGATGTGTTGAAAAATAGAAAAAACTACGAAGCATTGGGAAGAAAGAAAATGAGAAAGATGAGGTGTTGATTACGCAAAATAGGATGAGAAATCCATCGGCGGGAGGCAGCAACGGCTTCTTCATCGTGTGTCTCAATTCGATGGCATTTCGCCGTCATCCAAAATGGACATCCACACCCGACAAGGAGAGTCCTGTGTCTCTCCGTCTCGTTTTTCTCTTCTTCACCTCTTCATCGACTTCCAGATCCAGTTGGATTTCTCCATTCGAACCTCATCCATTCCCATTGCAACCCTCTCTCTCTCCATCCACAATATTTTCAAAGAGAGACCGTAGATCTTGAGTAATATTGGTGCGTTGATCAAAACTTGAATTTTTATCCAGGAAAAAAGAAAGAAAGAGGGAAACTGATGGCATTGCGTAACAGATAAATCTCTCTTCATTGAAATCTTCTGAACGTAGACTACATAAGCCTAGTTTGATCTTATCTTTATTTCCCACGGGAAAAAAAACATGTTGCTGAATCCATATGTATATCAAGACACAAATTATTTTTTGATGCCAAAATGTGGATATCTCAAGTGTCATTGTACATTTTTGAGTCTCGAATATTAGGAGTTCTCAAAATATGAAATACTAAGTTTTTTTTTAAAATTCCATAAAGCTTATTAAAACTTTCTTCCTTTGTAATGAATCCAGGAAATAAATTTCTTGCCCTCAATTGTTTTTAAATTATTTGATACCCCTTTCTAGCAGACTATACATATATTTATTTAAGAAATTAAAGGTTTTTGCATTCAAATCAAGCTTAAAACTTTGTCTTGAGAGTATTAACTTTTCCGAGTGCCTCTTCCAAAGTCGACATATCACTTCTGATATCTCTTGCAAGACGTTGTAGAGCGGAAACCTTATCGAGAATTTCGACACGTTGAGTATAAGCATTGTAACGAATTTGGAATGGACGCGAGATGGTCGATGCCCACGATCTGAAATCAAAGATATGCTCAGTGAATTCTAGAACCGGGAGGCCTACTTGAGTTTATTTTTAGCGCTGGCGAATGACTCGGCAAGGAAGTATTTTGGTTGATATTCAGTGATTGGGTATTTGGTGATACAGCATACAGCTGGATCAAAATCAACGACTTGTGGTTTATCACTCAAAGCGTATTGGAGTTCTCCGAAAGAGCTGAGGAGACCAGCTCCATAAGCTTTTACTTGACCGTCTTGTTGACAGAGACCGAATTCAATTGTGAACCAATACAACTGAAAATCAAAAAGTTAGAGGTAATTAATTGATCAAAATCACGTACAGTAGCAAGTTTCTCAATAATATCATCTGGAGCTCCGAGGGACGCAAGTCCAATCTCTTGAGAGAATTGAGCGAATTCGACATCAGCGAAAAGTGGAACATGTCCGAGGAGTTCGTGGCAGATATCGCTGAAATTTCAAGAACTGCTCCATCTAGTATTCAAGAGCAAACTAACGGTTCTGGTGTGTATTTTGGTGCAGAGTGGTGACGAATGTATTGTGTGGAATGGAAGACACGGAAGGCAAGACCAGCAAGGAAGTCACGAGAAGAAAGTAGACCGGCAACTGGACGAATAGTGTACCCAGTGCAATCTAAATACTGAAAATGTTTTAAAGAAAAACATTTTGGATTTGTTTACCCTTCAAAAAGTCAGAAACATCTTGCAATTGTGGGATACTGTCTGGTCCGAATCCACAGTTTTGTTGGAGAAGTGGGAAGATGTAATTGAATTCTTGGCAGGCATTCTTTGGGTACAGAACGGTCAACTCATTGTAGACCGTTCGCCACGTGGCAATCTCTTCTGGAGTGTAGTCGATAGTTGGGATCTTGTCACCGCTGTAAGTTATAAATTAATCTAGAGAACAGACGAGGTAATTACTGTTTGAAGTTGAAAGCAATATCGGCGAAAAACTTTCTGCGTTCTCTGTAGGTTTGGTCCTTGAATCCAGGATGGTCACAGTCCAACTCAGCTCCGTAAGAGAGAATTCTATTGGCAAATTGATCAATGTCGCTGATCTTCTGTGGGAACCATGGGACAGAGTCTATAAAAACATTTGCTAACCATCTAATAACACTTTCAGCCTTGATACCCTTGTTCTGCTTGTCCTTGGTGTTCCAGTCCTGGACCAAAACTTTCTGGACAGCTTTTTGCTGGAAGTGCTCAATAACTCCCTCAATCTTATGATGGTCCTCAGCTTCAGCAAACTCGACGAGCACCTCGTAGCATCCTTGATGAGTTTTTGATGGACGAGATTCGATATGAGACAGATTCACATCATGTGCCTGTCGAAAAATAGATGTGTAATGAAGCGTATAATTGGTAGGAATTCGACATCAACTGATATGATTGAAAAAGGAGTCTTGTGACAGAAACGGAATCAGAAATCGCGTTTCGAACAACGACAGTTTGTTGCGAAGATGTCGTTACTACGCGTATCAAGTTAGGCGGAGGTGCACGAATTGGTGCAAATGTTGCGATTTGGGAACCTAGGAAGCGTGTCTGATGATGTCTATAAGGTCGTTAAAGAAAAAGGTGATCTATGTAGTTTGAGTGATGAAAATTGGAAACATTCTGGTTAGAACATACCGACAACCCTCTAATGGAGTGCCCCAGAAACTGTCAACTCTATCAATAGAGTGCTCAAAAAACTGTCAACTTAGAGACCGTATATCTCATTCCCAGTAAAAGATATCAAATACTAGTAAACTGATAAAATATTTATCATAAAATCGAAAAATAGTTTATCAGCTGACAAATTTTTGACATCTTCCACAGGAATCGAAATAAATAGGCTCCAAGTTGAAAGTTTTAGTGGGCTCCTATTAGAGGAAGTACGGTAATTTAGAAAAATCTTTTTTTGAGATTTAAGCCACTGGTTTTACCTTTTTCATACTCTACTCATTCGCATTTATTTTGATGGTTTTACATGGTTTGAACTGTTTGGTATGCATATAAGAATCATGTGAAACCTCTAGTCGGTCCAGTGTCTGATCAAGAAGAGTCGACGTGCGAATCAGAAAAAGCGCTGACGAAATATGCATCTCTCTATATCTCATGACCCATAGAGACCAGTTTGACACTCACCTGGAACAGTTTCAGAGTCTCGGCCAATGCTCCTGCCTTCTCACGAAGAGTGAACACGATTGTAGTTTTGCCCATTTCGGCGTTCACATCCGCGACGTACGATTCCATAGCGTACTTCTGAAAAAGTTATATTTATTTCCAATTATCTAAAAGAAGTTTTGTTTTCAAATAGAATCTCATTCCTCACCAGGAAGTCAAGATCATCTTGTCCAGCTGGGGGCATTTTCAGACTTGGGGGAAGAGGAAGAAAAGGGATGGGAAGGCTTTCAGAGAAGTTGACAATCACCGGGAATCAGAATAAACATGGCCCGAACCTGGCCGTTTATAGGTGAGAGAAAACGAGACGCAGATGACATTAAATCGATGGGGCGTGGCTTATATCACCAGCGATTTGGGTGGCCCATCTATCAATACCATTCTGCTGCAGAGAAGATGTTCCACGTGGGGGAGGAGACTGAAGACCGTCAGAGAAGACACCTACGCCACGTGGGGAAAGATGAGAATGTAGTTAACGACTATCGAAGAGAAATGAAGAACGGTGAGTCAAGAAAAAACAGTAGACAGATTGTCAGATGATGTACTTAGAAGCACGTGGAATGAGATGTCAAACTAGATCAAGCAGACATATGGGCACTTCGGATCAAGAATATTGATATGAGATGATAAACATATCGATGAAATATGAATTGAACCGTATATCTTCAAAAGACGGTTTTTCGAAAGAGATACTAATCGGAACGTGATAAGAGGGCATCTAGTTCTCCGTGTACCCGCTGTTCAGGATGTCATAAGGACCGGTTTATACCGTCAACTTTGAGCTCATATATCTCGATTCCTGTAAAAGATATCAAAAAGTAATCAACTGGCAAAATGTTTATCATAATGTCAAACATATTTTGTCAGTTTATTACTTTTTGATATCTTTCACGGGAACCGGTATAAATTGCCTCGAAGCAGAGAGTTGGAAGTGGCGTTCTGCTTTCTGCTTTCTCACCACAACACAGAGTCTGCTTGTTTATCTAGACAAAATTACAGATTTTGTAGTCAAAGGGTATTGATTGGCTAATAAATTTCGATCCCTAGGAATTAATTTCGGTCCCTAGGAATTAATTTCGGTCCCTATCAAGTATATGTCAACTAATAAAACACTTATGATACAGTTTATCAGTTGACAACTTTTTGATCTTCGATAGGTGGCGAAAAAAATAGGCTCAAAGTTAAAAATTAAGGGCTCTTCTATTACAGATTTTACGGTATGCAGTTGATAACTTATTTTCCAGCGTAAGTTACGTGTAGAGATATCATAAAAAATTGGTTTGCACTGAATTCTGCAACGTCGAAATTCTGATCCATTTGCTTCCCTTGGTAGCATTTCCAGTCCCATATGTTCTTTTGATTTTCCGTTCTCCAGAAAACTTCAAAGATCAAAGGATCGAATCTCGATCGCACGCTGGTTCAAAATTTCATTGCAACCGGTTCTTAAAAAGTCATAAAGTAAAATGTTCCATCATAAATGTAAATATAGGATCTCGTGGACACCCACCATCTCGTGATTCTAAACCTATTTCTGAACGTTTCTCCTTCCACCCACTCTCACTTCCTTATCCCAGCCATTTTTAGTTGTTGACCTCATTCGGCCATTAGTTCCTTCATTCTAGTCAAGTTTTCTTTGAAACGATCAAATGGGGGAAGATACAGTATGCGAAGCAATAAAATCGTCACTGATTGTGTGTATCGAATGTGAGCGGCGCAAAAAAAATCAACAGAACACAATAATGGGGAACTGGTTGACTGTGGAGAAAATGGGGAAAAAAGATAGAAGACGTGGAATATACACTTCCAAAAACGAAATACATAGAAGACGTTTGGCGGTATATGTCTGGCATTTTTGGAATGGATAGAAGGACAAAGAGAAGAGGTGATATGATGGAAGATTTAAAAGAAGGAATAGAAAGTGATACACTGCCGTAAGTCAGTATGAAAACGATCGATACAGAAGAGGATGTACCGACTGGCTTTTATCAATATTTTGGTTGTTTCGTCTGATGAAAATTGAGGAGGATAGGTTTTTGCAGAACATGGTCTGAGATGTCTGTAGCAGAAGGAAAAGAAAAAGAAGACAATCACAATGATCATTAAAAACTGAATCGTTGAAACAAAAATGTAGAAAGTAGATGTTCATAGAAGATCAAGTGATCAAAGAAGGGAATGGCGTTGAAAAAAATATGATGTATATTGTGATGCTAGAGTCTGAACTTCGGTGATGGTATTTTTCTCATATCAGAAGGGAGACACCTTATATTACCTGTTTAAAAATTCCAAAATGTAAATACACGAGACGACGAAAATCGTAGACATGTATCATTTACAGTACCGGTCCATAAGATTTACGAAAACATATTTTCCGTTAATTTTCGGTCATTTTCAGGAGTTTGGAGCTGTCAAGTGGCCGATTACTTTAAAAATTTCGGAAAGTATAAAACAGACCTATATTAAAAACTTTGCATTCGCAGAATTTTTCGAAAATGCCTCGTTTTTCAGCTATTTGCCGATTTCTGAAAGAGACCTGTTTTTTCCAAGTTTTCAGTAAAGAAAACAGGCCTTACTGGGGTGTCTTTTGGAAATCAGCAAATAACTGAAAAACTAGGCATTTTCAAAAAACTCTGCAAATTCAAAGTTTTCAATATAGATCAGTTTTACACCCTCCAAAATTTTTCAAAATAGTTGGAAACTTGGCAGTCAAGCTCCAGACTTCCGGAAAAGTGTGTATTTGTATCTTATTAACCGGTACTGTAGGTAACGAAAATCGTAAAAATGTATGATTTAGATTGTTGTGATATTTTTCACATCGTTACTGTATACCGTAAACACTAACCAAAACCCATCTATACGTGCATCTAGAGCGCAGTTATCTCAACTTCTATAAGAGATATTAAAAATGTGTCAACTGCTCAAATGTTGGTGATATTGTGACAGACACTTTTTTAGTTGGCTGATTTTTGCTATCTTTTATAGAAATTGAGATAATTGAGCTCAAGCTGCAAGGGCAGGATGGCTTTCTAATAGAGTGTTTACGGTATTTCTATGGGACTTTAAGATATTATACAAGGCTTGAAACTTGAAAATCACAATCACAAACTGAGATTCTTTAATTGAAGAATAGTCACGTATTCTAACCAGTTAGGTTTAACAACTTTTTTATGGATCAACGAAACTATCAAGGCAACAAAACTCCAACCTAAACGTCTTCTTTTTTTTCTAATAGATTTTTTGAAAAACAATTTTCAAGAAACCAATCATTCACTTTTATGGATGTTGATGTTTGAATCCTGTAAAAGAATGACTTACCTTGCGAACTTCCTCGAGATTCATTTTTAAAGCAAGACCAGTACAACTTATGGAATACACCAGAGGACGGGAATGGGGATATTCACCTCCAAGGATGATCATCAGATTATGTTATCACCCTTAATCTCCAGATGCACCGAGTATGGGATGTCACATTGACCTCGTGGGGATATGTCGTTGAAAAGTACAATCCAATAGAAATATTACGTAGCCAACGTAGCGTCGGCAAGGGTAAAAAATTGTGAATGATGATGATTAGTTTTCAGTTTTTAAATCGACAGGAAAGGGTTCATTATGGAAAAGGTACTTATATAGATTTGAAGTTTTTTGAACTTCTAGGTTATTCCAGGGAAACATAGACGATATCTGGACAATTCAAAAAGTCGGTACACCGTTTCCGTCGAACGTGGCAAAGGCGCCTGGTGAAACCAACAAATATGTGGCACTATGGTACAAGCATGGGAAGCCAGTGATGGGAAGAGCCTGGAATGATTCTGGAGTTGTTAAAGTGAATCTTTACATTGAAACTTTTAGGTTTTGGAAAAAAATTTCAGTGCACATTTGTGGCAGATAACAAGATCTACAGTGGTCCAGACGTTGGTGGAAGCATCCAGTTGCTGATAATTGAACCTGGTGATAACAAACCACGCTCGTTTCATTACGATTGGGTCAACTACAAAAAAGCTCAAAGTTTGACAATTGAAGGAAAATATGAGATGGTTCGATGCGAGTACAGTGCATCCGTTTATTGGCCAGAACACGGATTGCTGGGATGTATTAGTACAGATAAGCTTGTCGCTTATTTTGTAGACAATGACTCTCAAATCGTGAATTTAAAAAAAAGGCAATTAAAAAAAATAAAATCTTCAGATGAGCACGAAGAAAACGGACGAGCTTCTTGTGCTCTGTAAAATTGCTGGAACAAAAGAAGCGCATGTTGTGGAGAAGGAAAAGGAGAAGAGCTTGGTTGGAAGTGCTATTATGAGGTTGTCTACTGTTAACAATGATTGGGAAGATTTCAACTGGGGAAGTGCATGGCCAGTCAGCAAGTAAGTTTCTCTAGAGTCACTTTTTTTCGTTTTTTCAAGAAACCGTAATTCTGACTTATGAGATGATAACCTTTGAAAAGATCCATATTTTCTTTTAACTAGTACTACCTGAAAGAATAAAACAAAGTATTCGTATCACCAGAAACACCATAATATACAGCTACTCTATACTTACACTTTGAGCACGCATATCTCATTTCCTACAACCGATATCAAAAAGTGGTCAACTGATAAAATAATTATTATAATATTAGAAACATTTTGTTAGTTGATCACATTTTGATACCTTTCACAGGAAATGAGATAAATTGGGTCAGCGTGCAATTTTCGCATTTTGAGATATCAAACTTCAGAAATGTGATGAGCACTCCAAAGAACATTCCCTCAGTTGGTTTTGACCAATTCGTTGCCCTATGGTATCGCCACGGAAAACCAGTGATGGGAAGAGCATGGCAGAAGAACGGAAGAATCGAGGCATTGTTTGTAGAGTAAGAATAGCAAGATTCCACAAAAAATTGGGAATATTTAACTTTTTAGCTCGAATCGAGAATTCACAGGAGCTACAGTAGGTTCTCTTCAACTTTTGATCAGCCTACCTCCCACTACAGTTGGATACGACTATGTATGGATGACCTACGGACAGGTGTTCCATTCATTATTTTCATGTTTATTCTTATCTTCTGTGATCTCAGGCGGTCGACTATCGCGACAAGGACTACGTGCCAGTACATCTCAGCTACATTTGTCCAGCCATAGTTCCTGTCAATGGTAAACATCTTCTAGGTAAGATTTACGCTCAGGATGCTTGAATTTGAAGCAATTTGAGCTGCAGTAGTTTTCTGGACGCCCCATACTTCTACCCATTGACCTTCAAATAATAAATAGCTCTCTATCCTTCCCCGACACCCAAAGACACCCATTAACATTGCAGGACAGGTGAACATGAAGACGGAATGTGCTACGGTGGCGTTGGATGGAATGGTGACCCAGCTAGATGGTGGACCCGTCAAGTCGATATTTGTTCTTTGCCGACGCGAGATGGCAGAGACTATGCTCATTTGATGGGTGTTGATGCTGCAACAAAAAGAAAGACATGGGGATATCCTAGAAGAAAGATCACCATCTGTTTCAAAATGTATCTCTCAATCTCTCAAACTTTTTGGCTTGCGACCTCAATAAACCATTCTCAAAGACACAAGATGATTTTTAAATTATGTTCAATTTTTTATATCAGTTTATCACTTTCTCTGTGTTTTACAAACTTTCAATTACTTCTTCAAAAGGTGTGCAGTGGGGGATTGATCGAGTGACGCGCCCCGCAGCCTCCCCTCCCAATGCGACGGGGCAGCCGGGTTGAAAAATGAGAGATGCAGCAAACACGAGATGCCTCACGGGAGACACAGACAACAGCAGATACACACGGGGGCCACTTTTTCGTCTCCTCTTCTTCTCTTTTCCTTTTCCTTTCCTTCGTTTGGCTGGGTGTTCGAGAGACTGAGACCACGGATAGACGCGGGCTGTCGAAGGGCCTAAGCGACGAAAAATGACTATAAGTTCGTGCAAGCTTCTTCTTCTTATTTTCAGTATTAGAAGTACATTTTTCAGTAGAACTTCCTTTTTATCTTTATTTTTTGGACAATCACAAAGAAGAATCGATGACTTCCAGGCCTCAATTTCTTGTATAAATTTTCTCAACTTCCTTCTTTGAACATAGTTTAAAATGAAAGCAACTGTTGTTTCGTTTTTCAAAAAACGAATTTTTGGGACAGAGTGTAGGTAATCTGTCAAGTGTGAGATGGTGAGCGTATCTTTCGTCGTTTGAGAGAGAGATAACAATGCGTTTGTCTTTGCGACTATCGGTTTTCTATGTTATCTATTTTTCGGTGACAGTTTTTCAGTTTTCCTCAAACTTTAAAAACCTAAATTGTATGTTGTTTGAAATTGTTCACGAGCCAGAAAAATTATGGGTTTTTTCCCTGAATTTAATTTTTAAACGATGCGCGTTTGATGCATTGTACTGTACGCATTTTTGTGCAAACACGGCGTGCGTAAACCGAAAGTTTGCAGACCGTTCTTGCTAAATTTAAACGGTTTCGTCGAGAAATTGGATCATCAAACGTAATCAATCAATGTAAAATTTTAATCTTCTCGATTACCACACGATATTCATGTCACTTCCGATTAGCTTTCAAATTTCGTTATTTTTAATATGTATTGTTGCTTATCGTTTTGGTGCCGTTCCCCGTTTTCATTCACTTATTATTTAACCCAATTTCAGACAATTTTGCTAAAGTGTCGTCGCAACAGAGTCAACCATTTTACAGCGAAGCTTCCAAGATACCGGCTGGAAGTGGACCAGCCCGTGATTCCACAGAGGACATGGCGTCCTCTAAGGTGAGGGTTTTTGTTTTCAAAAAAAAAGTCTAACATTCCGGAATCTTGCCTGAAAAACTCTGAATGAAAATTCAGTTAGCCAGTTTGTACTAAATCGTAAAAAATTATAAAATTTGATCTTAAACAGTTTGAAATGCAATAATTTTCAGGAAGGCGAGAAGGATGCATCACGAAAAGTGAAAGTCCCGAAGCGTCCGGAGGTGAACAACGGTGGAAGCTTGGAAGACTGTATTTCCAACGTCTTTTCATTACTAGAGTTGCCTGGAATCAAATGGAAATGTTTTCGCCCTAAATTAAATGCTCCACGAGGGGTACCACTCACCTCAGATTTAGTCTTAAAAGCATATAGCAGATGTTTAACGGTAAGTCTTTCTTTTAGATATTGTCAATTCAAAAAGATCGCACCGGTGAACACACAAACAAACAAGTAAACAAGGGGGCGGAGCGATCCGCCCCTTTTCGCAAAGGCGCCGCGCAGTTTTTCGACGGTATTTTAGCGATGCCGTTTTTTGGTAATGTTTCATCGAATTTCTTCCGAATTGAAGGAAATTCGTCGATTTTGTGAAGGAATATATAACTTTATTTTAATAAAAACTCAGAAACACAATTGGGAAACACTATTCTTTGCTTCAGGGTGAAAATGAAAAGAGCAAGACCATGTGACGTATCGAATCCTGCAATGATGAAAATAAAAAGTAGAAAAGCTTCGATATCACATAAAACATAAATTATCAGTGCAACGTTTCCTGAAAACCTGAAAAACTCGATCGGAGAAGTATTTAGAGTAATTTGTCGACTAACCGCAGATTATTCAACACTTCTTCATAGTTGTGATACCAGAAGGCGATTTTTCTTATTAGATGATGGATGAATTAGAAAAAAAAATCGACGAATTTCCTTCAATTCGGAAGAAATTCGATGAAACATTACCAAAAAACGGCATCGCTAAAATACCGTCGAAAAACTGGAAAAGGGGCGGATCGCTCTGCCCCCTTGTTTACTTGTTTGTTTGTGTATTCACCGGTGCGATCTTTTTGAATTGACAATAAGAAAGGATGTGCTAAAGGAGTTTTACAGGACGGTATACTTTGCACATGGAGACGAAAACCATCACCTCCTACTGGCAATAACGAGCTTCTACCTCCAACTCATTTCTTCTCGAATGATTCTCCAAAAGAGCTCTGGGTATTCTGGTACGACGCCGAGCCGACAGCATTGGGAAAATATTGTGAAGGACTAGGTATGTCAAGTTTTTCTTTGGCGTATTCAGTTATTTTCCTGAATTTTAGATAGCGATGAGGAGTTATCGTCAGCGAATCAGATGAATATTGTTAGTTATGAAGTTCGTACCATACTTTTCAAAGCGTTGCACGTTGTTCTGGAGCGAGACCTGACCAAAGATGGATTTGTTCGTTTTGGAAGATGGTTCACTATGCCTTTGGTAGCTCGAGATCACTATCTTCACTTTATGTATCCTTCTCATTCCCCTGCTATCCGATTCAACTTTTTTGTTCATGGAACTAGCACAATCTGTGCTTCGATTCAAGCTCAAAGACAACCAACACTGATCAAATTGGCAAGACGGTAAGTCTCAAGTTTAGTGAATATTTTTTAAGAAGTTTTAATTTTGCAGACATTTCGAATGTAAAACACCAAAGCGATTCCCGGTTGTCATTGGTCCGTGGTCGATGCGTGGTTATCTGATAGCTGATCAGATGACACTTCTCGCCGATCAAAAAATACAGGAAGCTGCTGAAAAAGAATGGAATCAATGGAAGGAATATCTGCAATTGGAAGAAAAAGAACCAGAAAATGTGACAGAAGAGAGACAGAAAACACCAGAAGCTGAACCCCCAGCTCCTCCGCAAACGACGCGAGTGTTGTTGGCGTCTTCATCAGATGAAGATCAAGAAAAAAATGGAGGTGAATTAAAAAGCGAAGAAGTTTCGCAAAAAATTCGTTGGATGTTTGAACCCGATCTTCGACAGGATAAACCGAAAGAAGAAACGGCAGCAGAGAAGGAAAAACGAATGGCAGCAAGAGAAGTACGGCGATTGCGAAGGCAAAGGAGAGAAGAACGACGAAGAGAGATGGAAAAACAGAGAAGAGCAGATGATAATCTAGAAGACTACGATTCCGATGTTGTCACAGATCAAGATGAGGATGAAGCAGGAAAAGAAGAAATTGTGAACAATGATGTACCCAAAATGATACTCATTGAAATTGACAACGTTCGTTTGTTGTACCCTTCAAAGTTTGTCTGTATTACTGTTGAAGAAGACAGACAGATGTTGGAATCGATGGGATTCAAATGCCATCCAATGCCACAAGAGCTTCAAGGTGAATAGTTTTTCAGGTAAAGATTCAACTCGTTCCATTTTTACAGTACCGGGCCGTCGTCCACGTAACAAGAATGTCGTTAATATGTCAAACCCGCTGCTGTCCACTATGGCTGTGTATCAATATGTTCAAAATGAGAAACGAGCTGAAAGAGAGCATTTCTATCCAAGAAACAAGCCAGTCGAAATCGAAACGGACACTAATTTCGAAATTCTTTCAAATCCAAAAGCTCGGAGGGTTGCACCACCAAAATCGCCTACTTTTCTGAGCTGGGAATCGCAACGGGCAAATCATTTCGACACGACTGACATTTTCGTGAATAGGCTTTTTGAAAGTGAGTCTTTTTTTAAATTTCTTTCAATTCACAGAGCTCTTTCGTTTAGATGCCGACACTTTCGATGAAAATCCTCGTCTGATAAAGTTCGCATGTCTGTCGTCTCAGTTTATTCGTCGTAAATGGAAATGGCTTCACAAAAAACAAATCCTATTCTGTGGGAAGGCTAGGAAGAGATTTGGAATCGGATCACCGCAGAATTTTGCTTTGAATATGATGAAATCGCGAGAGAAAAGGAAAGAATATCAGCCGTACCATAGGAAAAGACCTGCGAAAAGTGTGAAAGAGAAAAAGAAGAAGGCGAAGCGGAAAGGTGAGTTGAATTGATTGAAAAACCAAATTTGATGCTTTGCAGTTAAAAAATTCGTAAGGTACAATAGTCCAGAACAATTTCTTGCTTCGATGTCCAGAACAAGAAAGAAATTTAATGCTTGGAAACAGAAAAAGAAAGGACCACCACCTAAAAAAGATCTTGCCAAAAAAGAAGCTGCCGCGGACAAAGACAAAGATAAGGATAAGGAGAAAGATAAGGAGAAAGACAAAGATAACGACGACGATCCGTTTGTGATGGATAAGGTGTCTCAACTAGATTGGGCGAATTTTAGTGAAGACGAAACGAATGGGAACAGTTTCGCCGATATCGAGGAGTAAGATTTTTTTTCGAAAAATTATATTTTTAAATAAAAAATATGTATCTAAAAAATGTATCTTAAAATTCAGAAATAGAGCTTTGGTGAGCGAAGAACACATAAAATTTTCCAGTCTCTACAATCCCGCTGGTGGAGATATTGAGGAAGGAGACGAAACTTCTAATGAATCGCCCGACGAGAAAACCCCTGAAGGCTCTCCAAATGGTTCCCCCAGGCCGAAAGAAGAAATTGAACCATTCTTTCCAATAACATATCTAGCTGCGAAACCGTCGAATATCGAATCGGATCTTGGACCGGACGTCGATGATATGACTGAAGAGCAATTTAATACCGAGTACGTACCAAAGGAATATGACATAACTCAAGATCCAAAGAAAGTGAAAAACGGGCAAATACCAATTTCTGAATTTTCTAAAGATAACCAATTTTATCATGGAGAAATATGCCGACTTGGACTGAGAGGTTACAAAAAGATCTGTGCGGAACGTGATCGGGAGGAAGCCGCTAGAAGAACGAAGTGGTTGCAGTTGTACCGATTGAAAGTTGAAAAGCGGAGCATCAAAACAGCACGGCAATGTCATAGAGATTATTTGAGGCAGATTGCTAAGCGATGTTTGAGAAAAGCTTTGAGAAGGTTGCGAATCACTGTAAGTTTAGGAGAAATTGTAACAAAAATCAATTTTATTATCATTAAAGGCTAAAAAAGATGCTCTGGCTCCTCCTCCACCCAAACCGAAGCCAGTTGATCCGGTGTTGAAAAAGAAAGAAGACGCAAAGAAGTTTGAAATGAGTTTGAAAATAATGGAGAGAGATCTCGGGAATTTGGATATGAGTGCATTCTGTCAGGTTCGAGAGAAAGCTGGACCTCATGGGGTAAGTTTTCCTGAGATAATTCTGCTAACCAATCCAAAGTGGCTTAAGGTGCGAAGTACTGCGGGATACATGAAACCAAATTATTTCAACTCCCCCCATGGATCATTTGACCATGATTCGGAACCGGAATTCGACGAGCAACGAACAGGACTCGGAGAGGGAACATCTGATCAGTACCAAGACGGGGAGTCAGTTGATATGATTGATATAGAAAGAGAATTAGCCAATGATCCTTCATCGTATCTTTCCAATGCCGAGCACATAAGAACCCTCGGAGAACACATCGGTCCTGACGGAATGCTATCACCACCTGCGAGCAACGAGATGCCAAAAGGAGGTCCTTTATCGGTGGGTCCAGCGTCCATCGAGTCGCAAGGACTCAATCAAATATATCCGACGCCGCCATCTGTACAGATGCTTCAGGCAGACGCATCACAGGCACACTCACCGAGCATTGGCGGCAAATTCCGATCGACCGCAAACGATGATATCGACAGGGCTGCTGCTTCTGGTAAAACTATTGTTGATATTGAGATAGAGGACATTGAGACTGGAAATATGCAAAGATGGAACAAAATTGCGAATCAATCGAAATTGGTGGGTTATCAGAAATTATCAGAATATCAGAAATTAAACCAGAAAGCGAAACACAATCTTATTGCAGTCTAAATTTCTCGTAGCGTCTCGCGATAATCCAATTTTGAAAGGAAGGAAAACGAAGTATGACACTCCAGCGACAGATAAATTTGAGATCCGATGCGTAAGTTCTCAAAATTTCTCTTAATTTTATTCCCATCTTTTTCAGCAAGTAGAAAGAGTCACTGTTCCAATGGCTTACGAGTCGATGGTAACAAGGAATTTCGAATGTGCTCCACCTCACACTTTCGCCGAGTTGATCAGACAGAGTAGAACGGGTATTAAAAAATATACTCGTCCTTTGCAAATCCAGTCAACATTGGCTCGTCCTCCTCCTGGAGCAACATCCCCACTGCCACCTCCAACTCCGATGTTCAACCCTCATACACTTCCTCTACATCACACGTCACCTTTCTCTGCTGGTCCAATGTCTCATCATTCAATGGGACCACCAGCGTATCCACCAACACCTGGACCATACCCTCCAACAACACCAACATATCCGGGTATGACACCAAGACCTGGATCTAGCTATGGACCCGGCTACCCGAATCACCATCAGATGATGCCTCCTGGCTATCCGAACCAAATGGGTCAGATGGGAGGAATGAATGGAATGGGAGGAATGCCAGGAATGGGCCCGATAGGGATGCAGAGACAATTTTCGAATCCACAGATGTATCAACATCATCAGATGATGAGAATGCAACAGATGAGGATGCAAGGCGGGCTACCCGGATACGGTGCTCCTGGAGTTCCACAATACCCTCAACAGTCTCCAGTCTCCGGAGGTCCAGGTGGGTTCGGAGTGCCATCCGGACCATCTTCCGTTCAACGTCTGAACAATTTTGTAAACCAATCGCAATTCGGACCAAGTAGTGGACCACAGAATCCATACGGAACACAGATGCCCCCAATGATCCCACAGTCTCCAAGCTTCAATCAGCCGTATCCAGGAATGGGAAATCAGATGATGAGTCCGATGCAGCAACATCAATTCCAACAGCAACAGATGATGCAACAGCAGCAACAACAACAGCAGCTCAACTTCAATTACAACGGAGTCAAGCTCATCAGATTCAGCACCAACCTAACCAACAGACAATGCAATCACTCCAACTGACTCCAGAGCAGTTGCAAATACAACAAAGTCAACAGGTACAGGCAGTGTTCCAGCAATTGCCGGATCGAGAGAAGAGAAAATATCAACGTCGTCAAATTCAACTGATGAATGGATTAATGCCCACTTCACTGCAACCGGCTTCAATTAAAGCTCTTAAAAATCCGCCAGATGCCAATATCCCATACAAACGACAAGACATCATTTACAATCCACCAAATCCGGCTCATCCGAGGGGGGACAGTCTTACCATTGCAATTGTACTTTCTGATACTCTACTCGACCTACACTTTGATTCAGTGTTCGATGCTTGTCCAATCTGTTCCTGCTCCGTTTCCATTCGTTCGAGAGATCTTGGAATGTACATTATTCCGCATGCCGTTCTAAGTTCAAGAGAAATTGGTGAAACCAACAAGCGAGAATATACAACTGGAACTTGGAGTGGCTTCCATGTCAATTCTGCAACCAGTTGTACCTGTGGCTTCAGTGCTATACGTCATCGGTACCTCTCTTGCTGTGCTGGATTGTTTGACGAAGATGCAGACGAGGCAACAGCTTCTGAGCATGCGAATGCGCCAGTGATTCCACCGTTATTTGCAAGAAGTGAGTTAAAAAAATTACTTTCCTAACTATGAAGTTTTCAGATACAACCAAAACCCGAGATATGATGTGGTTCGATCCGCAATCAGTTCATGATTTGGCTCTTACCGATCAAATTCGGCAAATGGCATTCAGTAACAGTCTTGGGAAAGCAGTTTCTCAAATGGCAACTGAGAAAGAACACAGAAGAAATATTACGAACGCTGTTGATATTGGAACGGATATCACTGTCCCAACGGAATATGTTCTCTCCCATGTAGATACACTTGAACTTATGATGCTTGGAATGTCTGCACTGGGTCCGATGCAAAGTAAGTTTATATTGTGAGCTACATGTTTACCAATCCTTCTTGCAGCTCCTGAAACGACGGGAAATCAGTTTACCCCACAAAGCAAGTACCTCAGCTACTTCCATCCATGGGGATTCCAGACTGCCAATGAAATTGCCGAATTAGAATCATCGGAATGGGTGGATCTTCTTGATATTATCACTCCAACGCTTGAATCGTCGATGAAACAAGCAAGACGTCCTTCAGTAGAAACTCCGTTCGTTATTGAAGGACCGATGACGTGGAAACAGGTTGTGACAAAAGCAATTCGCGGAAAACCCCCAACGGATGAAGACGAGGACTTTTCATTGGCAGAGCCAGTTCCCGCTGTAATGAGAGCATTGGAACAGGAAGCGGTCAGGGCTGCACCCAACATTGAACAGTATTATGATCAAGCTGAGCTTGGACCAGTGGATCAGCCGAAGGATGTCATGTATATCACAATCATCCCAGATAATGATGATATCTATGAGAGAACGGTCAAATTCATGCATACTATGACAGAAACGTATGAGAGAATGCGACTAGGACGCCACATTCCGTTCCCGGTCTCTACTGGAACTGCTTCACGGTTCCGTGAAGTGTTGAAAACCTATCAACATCAATTCCCATATCAGGAGCAAAACCAACAGCTGGTCGAATTCACTAATAATCGGCTCGAAGCGGTGCCTCAAGAGCTTTCAAACAATCCTGATCCACTGAACACCGATCCGGAAAAATGGAGTAAAAGATTGAAAAGGAAACTTGAGCTCAGCGAAGAACTCAAAAAAGCAGACGAACATCCAGCTCCTCCTTCGACACAATCTGAAAACAGTGAAGGGAATGCTGCCACACCTGCTGCTGAAACCTTGTCTTCAATCTTCTCCGACGACGCTTTTGTTGAAGAAAGACATATAAATTCTACTGAAGAAGCTCCTACAACTACTGAACGACCTCCAAATTCTCTCCCTTACCGCATAACAAATTGGCACGAGAAGGATGACGACACATATGAACATCCTCCAGAAGTACACGATACCCTACCAGAGGGTTTCTACGAGCGAGAAGGAATTTTGAGAGTCGGAAAACCATTAGAACCTTTGAGAATTTCGCATACTGTCGTCTCAACTCGCGAGTTTGACAATATGACACAACATCTGAGCGACGCGCAAGGTTTCGTCAGTAAACTACGTATTTTCTTACAACAAATGGAAGATCTTGTCTTCCATACATTGTCTGGGAGTAGTGAAGCTTTCGAGCGAAGAGGATATCGATATCAAATGGCTGTTGAAGGAAGATTGAAACGTCAGAAACACAAAAGAGATATTGAGGAGGAACGACTCAGATATGAGGCGGCAAAGGTTCAAGATGAAGCTGATAAACGAGAAAAAATGGACGAGGCCGATCTTTTCCCGGGGGCTGAAGTTGGAGAGGAAACCCCTAGTCCATGGGTGGATGATGAGTTGGAAGAGAAGAAGAGGAATAAACAAAAGGAAAATGAACAGTACCCGGCTGAAGAGTCTCAAGCACCATCTCCAGTGCCAGCTGGAATGATTCATATCCCAGAAACCTGTAAGTTTTAGTCAATTCTTGATTCAAAAACTATTATCCAATGTTTCAGTGTCCGAACAAGAAAGAAAAGTTCAACCAACTCTCGCTGATATGTTTGCTGATCCTTCCACAGTTGCGCCGATCAATGCTCAGAATATTCCATGGAAACAAAGGGATACACGAGTTCAAAATCCATTCCCCTACTCAAACCAGCCACCAGTCGCCTTCGAAGCAGTCGGCTCTAACGACACGGATGCCTACTCGACGCTTCCTCATGTCATCGTTTTGTATGTCGTCAATCCATTCTCTTACGGAGCAGAAGGTCAATCAGCATTGCACATGCGCATCGCACTACTTTCATTCATTCGTGCTTACAACTCGATCGTTGGTCGACTTCCGTTCACTAAACGTACACAACTTCAATTGGAAATAATTGGAATGGAGAGTTTGGATGATATGGTGAAGGGTATTCCCGACTATTTAAATGATTCACAAGTGCCATTCGATATTCTGCACGACTATCCAGTCAGAAATGAAAGACCATCCGAATCAGGTCAAGAAGCTGCTGCTCGATCGTTATCCGTTGCTGTCTACACTCATCCACGCGTATTCACTCCGGAAGTCTATAAAGCAGTATCCGCTAGATGTATGACTGCGTAAGTCTTGTTTTGTAGTTGTTAACAGTGATAATTTCTAGGTCATTCAATAGTTCTGTTGTTTCAGATTCGGTCCTGGTAGTCAGTTGATCAACACCGTCAACAACATTGAAAAGATAAACCAAGAAGCGTTTTACCAAATGTCAAAAAGATCGAAAACCGCGTTGAATAATATGGATGGTTACATGGGAATGATGGGATCTCATCAAGTGGAAACGAAGGCCCATATTTCTTATCGAGTCCCATCAAACATCGTTTGCTTGGCACCACCTCCTGCGATTTATCAAATGGATGAAGAAGGAAAACCGATTCTGAATCAGTTGGACGAGCAAACACTATTTATTTCATACTGTCTGGTTGGAACCGAATACCTTGTTGCCACGGCTACAGATTCACAAGGAAAACTAATTGATAACTGCATCGCGAACATGAAACCACGCCGACTTCACAATCAAGTTTATCGATACAAAAACAAAACTCAAATTCTTGATGGAATGGGAAAGCTTTGGTCGTTTATTCTGGGTGTGATGTCGTCGGATATCAAAAACTGGAGACTTGTCGTTGGAAGATTAGGAAGAATCGGACATGGAGAGTTCAGAGCATGGACTCATCTTCTCAACAAGACCTCACTTCTTCGTTATTCTTCAAGTCTAAAAGACATTTGTGGTGCTTGTCGCAGCATGCCATCAGCCATCGGAACTCCAGCTATACTATCTGCGTGTCTCATCACTTTAGAGCCTGAACCCAGTATTCGGATAATGCCAAAATTCCATGATATCGATGAGTCGATCAAGAAAAACCTCATCTTCCAAACTCCAGGAGATTTATCGTGCACCCACATTTTGACATTCCCAGTCGGAACCGAAATAAATGTAAGTTGGAAACATCATACTTATAAATAACAAACGTTTAAATTTTAGCTCGAAGTCCAAGACCAGACAGCCGACACAAAGGGTGACGAGAACTGGGAGTTTGGAGATCTAGATATTATGGAAGGTCTTGATGACGGAGATACAGAAATTATGAAGGATCTCGGACTAGAAACTCCCAGCAGTGCCGCGATTCGTCAAACTGGAGGAGTTTCCATGTTTTTCAGTGAGGACTCGTCTTCAATCGAAATTCAAAACCAGCCTCTCGCTTCCGGATACTATATTTCAACAGCACCGGCACCAGAACTACCCAGCTGGTTTTGGGCTACTTGTCCATCAGCGAAGCGTCACTCTCCTGTTCACTTGAAGTCATCATTGCACATTAACATTAGCGAAGTCAAGGTGAGAATAAAAAAAACTAAATAGTTCTATTCACAAATTTTCAGAATGACGATATTGCAATGGAGTCAGCAAAGGATAAGGAAAAAGAGAAGGAGGAGAAGGATATCCATCCATTGGAATCCCGTCAAACCGAAGAAGTTCTTCGTCACGTCCTCGAGTCATACAACGCTCTATCGTGGCTCAACCTTAATCGTCAAACTGGAGACCGTTACAGTTGTCTCCCAATCCACGTTCAACATCTTCTGAGACTTTATCATAGTGTAGCACGGCTTCTAGTCTAGCCGGATCGTGAACCTATATTCAAACCATTCCCGGTTATTTCTTCCTATTGAATCTCACTGCATATGATCACGCCTCCTCTCCCCCACAAGCTTCTCAGAATGATCTACAAAATCAATTATCAGTCCAAATAGTCGATATCATATCTCACTTTGCATTTACACTTGTTTTCACTTTTGATTTTCTCCTGTATGAATATGATTACCACATCCCTGTTAAATTGTAGTTACTCATCATCAGAATCGTTTCCTAGAACGCTAAACTATTCTCAATTCGTTTTCTTTTTTTTATTCTCTAGGATTTCAGAATAGAGTTTGTGGGTTTGTGTTCTTTCCCCGTCCTCGCTTATAATCGGGTCGTTCGTCTTATTTTTACTTTGTTTGGTTCACAAACTGTTCATCACTCTCACAAGTTAACTCCACTCGTCACCTAACTTTGTTATAATTTATGTTTTATGTATTTTATTTTGCCAATTAGTTTCAACTTTCTTGTTCTATGAATCAATGATCAATAAGTTATGTTTTAAAACGATTTTTTCCTTGAAAAAACATTTTAATTAGAGCAGATATCCCGGTCGGCTCGGCAGTCAGCGTTGGGAGCAGCCAGGAATAATCGGCCATTGTGACATACACAAACTTGCGTCTGTGGACTGCCCCTTCCATCAGAACGAGCAAGTTTTTCCATGTAGATGGATGAGGATTCGAGACGGATTTCTCCCTGAACATTTTTAGTAATTGATTTAGAAAATTTAGAAAACAACGATGCCAACCTGCTTTGAAGAAATCGAGATGTCAAGTAGAGAATTTACTGAAACCTCTCCGGCGGCCGCAAGAATCTCAATATCTTGTGCCGCATCAACAGAGACGCTTCGAGTTGGCGATTCCAAACGAAGTGGAGAATCTGGTTGTGGACGGACTGACGACGTCTGTATGGCTCCTTCGAATACACTTCCCCCGTCATCTGAATACGAAAACTACTTAAAAACTTCATAGAATCAAAATAACCAACCCAATATTCTCAAATTTTCAAGTTTCAACCCAATCTCATCTGAATCGGCGAAAAAGAGCAACTTTTGATCCTCGTCAAAGACTTCGAATCGTTCGCATGTCACTTGAGCTTTTCCTTCGGGCATAAGGGAGAATTTCGATGCCACGTTGCCGCTTGGTTTTCTAGCTTGAAGATTCACTCCTCGGAATGAGTCGACAGTTAAGGTTTCTTCCTGAAAATTCAGATTTTTTGATAAATTATTTGGGGACCCTTGTATTACAGGTTTGACGGTATTTTTCACTGAAAACGTAGAGAAATATTTAATCTCAAACAAAAAATGTTGGACCATTCTATTACAGGCGCCTTTCTATTTTTCCAAGCTCCCCTTGGAGGGCCATTCCATTAAAGGGGCGCTCCTAATACAGGTTTTACGGTAAACAATATCGTTCGAATTCCAGTTTCTGATTTCAGATTAAAAAAAAAGAGTTCCATCTTTTTCTAGAACTCACATCAAGGGTACTCAATTTTGAAAAGTGCACTGGTCGATCGAATTGAGCTCTTCCTTCCACTCGAATTCCGTCTTCTTCAATTTTAAGTGTTCCTATTCCGTTTGGAGAAAAGTCCAAGACTGACATTATCCAGAACGTCAGAGACAGATTCAAGACTATTCCAATGGCTAAGACCAAGATGAACGTGTATAGGAATCGTTTCCTCCACCCATATATTCCAACTCTGAAAATTCGTTCTTTTTTGTATTCCAAAATTTGGAAGCTATTTTTCTAGGCTCACCGATAAATATCAGCATCTGCCTGAGGTTTGGTGGTGGAATGAATGACAGTAGTTTGAGAAGGATATGCTTGGGAATGAGAATATGACGGTGGATATGAGCTGCCCACCGGTTGAACCATCGTTTGATGGGATACTCCTCTCGACATACTTTGCTCATTTCGGGACCATACAGGCTCATCGGAGGATGGTCCCATTGCATAAACAGGATATCCGCGCATTTCAAACCGATCGATGGGGATTTTCGAATCACAAGAGTCGTTTGGCAGATGGAACAAGGGTGTAATAGGGGGAGAAAAGAGAAGATAAAGAGATGGAGAAGAAGATTTTGGGATCCGCCGCCGCCGGGATGGTGGCTCTTTGGCAAAAGTTGTAATAAAGAGGGGTTCGTCAAAAGACATATCACAGTTGGTGTGACAGTGAAACTTGAAAATGCTTGATGGGTGGTTTCTCTTGTTTTGATTGATGCTTTTTACAGCTTCAAGACAGGTGACGGAGACTTTTTAAAAGTTGGACCTAATTTGTAAGGGTATCATTCAATCCATTAAGAAGTTTGAAGAGAATTCGGAAGGTCGAAAATAGGACAATTTTAGAGTTTGCGAATGGGGAAAACACACAATAAAAAACTCTTATTTTATAACGTATCCTACAATGTTCACAAGTAGAGAAGCGCTAACGAACGACAATCAGTTAGCAACGGATGGAGAACCGACGGGTCATCGACGGGCTATCGACGGACCAAAATATGGTTCAATAGTTGTTTAATGATCAACTGTCAAAAAGGCTCGGCGAACATTCCATTTTTAGCCAGTCTCCTCTACCTGTGTTACCTGAAACAGAGGTAGAGGGAATGTAGCAGTTACAAAGTCATGATTTATTGTTTTTTCGGTCCTAACCTTTAACTATTGTCGACATTCTGATTTTCGTTCTTTCTAACCATAGTTAAATGTAATTGTCTCTATTCATTCCTTACTTAAATTGCCCTTCAGATTGGCATAGCTTCCAAATCAATAATTATTTCTATACTCCCAGTTTTACGAATTCCAGTAATTTTTGTCCAAAATGTCCTCTTACGTTAGTTTCAGAATTGCTTTCATTACCAATTCTGTCTCCAAATTTCGTTTTCAATATCCAATACTGTAATGATTTTTCCACTATTCCCTATTCGTATGATCTTCTTCTTTACTGGTTTTCCCATACCATAAAACCAATAATAGAAGGGCTTACTAAATTTCAACTTTGAGCCTATTTATCTTCTGTTCAAGTATAAGGTATAAAAAAGATATCAACTGGTAAATTGTTTATCATAATATGGCAACCATTTTATCAGTTGACACATTTTTGATAATTTCTATAGGAGCCAAGATAATTGAGCTCAAACTTAACAGTGTGGGGCCCTTCTATTACATGTTTCACGGTATGAATACTGTCACGCAATCAGTGTTCCATCTTATTTTTCTTCTCTTGATACGAATACATTTCTTCTCGAGAAGCAACAACAAGAATTACATAACGATCAATAGCATTACATATGCCGTTGTCGTCCTCTTCTCTCTAACTTCTCTTTTCTCTCATTTCAAAAAATTCTATGTTTTCATGCCTCGACACAATCTTTCTCTTCCCATTCGCGAAGCGCGGCGTCTCTACTACTTTTCCCATCTTTTTGTTCTCAAACTCTTTCCTCTGTCAGCTCTTTTTCTCTCTTTTCCGTCGAGTACCCTCCACCCTCTCGACGTTGCCGCAAAAATCGACGAATGGCTTCAGTCGTGGCCTCTCGGGGGCCCGGGGAAGGCGCCGCGGCTGGCAACTGGCCCAAAATGGCCTCTATCCTTCTATAGCGGTGAGCTTTCTTTCAATTTTTTTCAATAATAGATTTTATCTTTTTAGAGGATCATTCGTCTGTTTGTGTCATGGTTCATTCGACCAACAGCCAGGAGCATCTACGAATTCATTGGATCAATGACGACATGCACCACACATTCTAAACACGTCGTATAACAAGAACGTGGCTTCATATAACCTATTGAATTGAAACCGTAATCGAGCCGAGTGATGCAGTGATCACCTTCACGGTAAGTATCACGCAACCCTCTTATTAATATATGAAAATTCTCAGATCGGATAATGCTAGCTAATGACCACTACGCATGCCGGATCTTGCGTGAATCCTTTGGACAGTCTGAGATTCAGACCCTCGACCACGCCCCTGTTGCATTCTCTTTCATGAAATTGTCTTCGGGAGTTTAACGAATGGTCATCCTTGAAGAGCCTGTTAACATGGCACCGAAAAAGTGAGTTCCCTAATTCGCAGTTCAGTTTAACAAGCTCTATATTTCAGCGTTTCGGTAGCCCAACATTGCTACAACCTGAAAAGGAATGGATGCCGATGTTCACAACCCCCCTACTAATCTGTCTGACAAATTGTGTGTTTTTATGTATTTTATTTGATGCTTTTCCAAATAAATACTGACATGTGGGAAATTTGTGTTATTGGTGTTTTTTTTGAGGAAGGTTAGAAGAGAAATTGAAAAATGTTACTGTAGTTCAGCTGTCAGCTTGTAATGGCAATTGCCCAAAAACGGCTGTATAGCAGACTATGATCAGATTTTGGTCGGAAGTTAAAACTTGAAATATTACTAGATTTGATCGGCTTTAGTAGCGATCTTATCCGGAATCTGACTAACTCGATTATAGAAAATACCTTTCAGGAACCAACTTAGTGAAATCCAGTGCCCTCCAGAACTCCCAACCACCGATCTTCAGCATCGTTCCGATTTCTGAACATTCTCACCAATTAGGACAGCTGTTTAATTGCACCTGTGTTTTAGCTTAATGTTAAAGAATCATATCTGACGTCATCATCTCCATCCTTATTCTGTTTCTTATACCTGTTGGTTTCAGAAAGTCTTAAACTTCATTGATTCTCTATTTCTTATTTTTATTGAAAGTCACCCTTTTCCAGCTCCTTCTTCTTCCCCATCCTCTTTTCCCTTTCTATTTCTCTTTTAGAGGAAAACTGACACGTCAGCCTTTCCAGACTTCCTGCATCTCTGCTTTTGTCTCATTGTCTTCTCCATACTCTTTCGTTTGCTTCTGAGAAATGCTGTAGTGTACACCTCCTTTCCAAGCTAAACGAATTCAACACTCTCTGTCTCTTCCTCATGCTTCTCTGAAAATCGATGAAGCCGCAGAAAGGCCACAGCTACACACTCGCCGTCTCGATTCTCTTGTCTGTTTTTCTCCTTTTCCATTCGTTCCTCACATCACGCGCCCAGTCACTCTTTTTTAGTTTTTGCCTCTTTCCTTTTCTTTGCGTTTCTAGATTCTTCTTCCAGAGTCTTCCTCCCAGAATTACATGCAGTGAAGTTGTCTTTTTTTCAGGTAATTTCTCCTACCACTTTATCAGAAGCACGAAGACGTTCTTCGATATTTGGTTGATGGTTATGTGGAATCAAACTATCTGAATCCACTCCAATGAAGGTCTTGGACCTTTTTTTTTTTCTTGATTTTTTCAGCACATGTCGCTAACCCTAATAAGTGAGTTTATCGGATCACCGTCCAATAAACCATACTTGACGGGCCCAAAGCAGGCCGTGGCGGGCCCTGTCATAGTTTCTTTTAAGATTGATACTTTTTGACCAACTAAATTAGATACGGTAGAACTCGACGAGCACTACAAAATGAT